GGCAGTCAATGGAGTGGCATCACCCTCAATCACCGAGAAAGAAGAAATTCAAGACAACTCCCTCCGCCGGAAAAGTCATGATGACTGTCTTTTGGGACAGTGATGGGTTCATTCTTGTGGATGTAATGCCAAGAGGTGCGATACGCGTACATCGGGACCCTGAAACCCTCAAGAAGCGTTTCCGACGAGTTCGGCCTCACAAGCATCCAGCAGAAATTTTGCTCCTGCACGACAATGCACGCCCTCACACAAGTCCGAGAACCCGGGAAGAAATCACCAAATTTGGTTGAACGGTGCTACCCCATCCACCCTCCGACCCCATCTCTTTGGACCACTTAGAGATGCTCTCCGCGGAACAAGGTTTGAAGATGACGAGAGCGTGATTCAAGCAGTGAGGACATGGCTACGTGCACAGGACAAGAGCTGGTACCGGCAAGGCATGCATGCACTTGTTCCACGCTGGCGTAAAACCGTACAAGTTGATGGGGACTATGTGGAAAAATAGTATGTGTAAAGGAAACATTGATTTATATTGTCACTAAATTTGAGCCATCTTGAATAAATATATTCTGAGGAAAAAAATGTGGGGCATTACTTAATAAGCGACCCTCGTACGTTCTTTTACATGCCATAAATTACGACATGTCCATCGACTTCTGCTGGAATTTTGTCGGTCTCGTTTCCCTTAGGCATATCAACGAATTGAAATAAGAATATACATTTTTTGTATTAGTTGCAGGGATATACATGTTTCATTTATGACCGTGAATTTCTAATCATTCGTAACTATTAACCGAAGAGACTATTATCCCGTTTTATGAAACATTTCTTTTGTGTGTTCGAAAGTATAAGGGCCCTTTCACACGTGGCTCATGTGAGCGGCTCACGTGAGATGAAGCGACTGCTGGGAATAGAAATCCCAGCAAAATGCATTGGACCCTTTCAAGCGAGAGCCACTATGCAGCTCTTTTGAAGATGACGAGAGCGTTATTCAAGCAGTGAGGACATGGCTACGTGCACAGGACAAGAGCTGGTACCGGCAAGGCATGCATGCACTTGTTCCACGCTGGCGTAAAACCGTACAAGTTGATGGGGGATTATGTGAAAAAATAGTATGTGTAAAGGAAACATTGATTTATATTGTCACTAAATTTCAGCCATCTTGAATAAATATATTCTGAGAAAAAAAATGTGGGGCATTACTTAATGAGCGACCCTCGTATATTGATCTTCTAATTTGAAAAGTGCCTTTGTGTTTTAGTTTTCATTTGTTCTAACACTTCAATAAAATATTTTCTGTCTATCTTGTTATTGTAGTTGCATATATTAATTTTAAAACATTTTCTTTCATTTTACTGCAGCTGAGATAGTTCAGTCAATAATACAACTGGCTACCGGCCAGATAGCCAGTTTTTATTCCTGGCAGGAGCAGAGATTTTTAAATTAACTGTTATGTCCAAACCAGATATGTAGACTACTCAGCCTCCAATGTCTTTCTCTAGAGATAAAGACAGTTGAAACACCATGCTGACCACTCACCTCCATGTAGTACTGAGGTCTGCAAGTTTAGTTTTACCTCCACATCTTCGACATTACATCATTGCACACTGTTTAAGCTGTGGAATACCTCTATTTTCATCATTACCATATTTTACAATACTGAGGGATAATGGGAACGACCCATTCATCAAGTGCCTGAGCACTAACGGTCCCAACTTTTCTTTGGCTCGATCTATAGACATTCGGTAGGACTCCTTGGACGAGGGATTGGCCCGTCGCAAGGCCTCTACCTATACACAGAACAGCACAACACAGAAAAACGCGGACAAACATCCATGGCTTGAGTGGGATTCGAACCCATGGTCCCAGCGACCAAGCAGCACAAGGCCCACACCTCAGACTGTGCAGGCACTGCGGACCCCATATTTTACTATATGAACATAAATTCTTTTTCTTTCAAAATCAGTATGTAACTTTCTTGTTATACTTCCCTGATAGCCTGCAACCCATCTTTTATTATGGCTCCTTTTCAAGTGACTGAGGAATGGCAGAAATAAGCAACTCCTATGATTCATACTGTTCATCCAGCAATATCAAGGTTTAGATGTGAAATATGTAGATCTCACAGTGGTAACGATATGCAAGAAATAAAGCCATGAATAAAAAGATCAAACTTTAGACCAGAACTTTAAGTAGATTGGATTCAAATGGCTCATGGCTCAGGAACAGTCCAGCACCTGAAATAAACCTCTGTGTGGTTTCAGAGCATAGTCATAGTTCTGGAATGTTTCTTCTACATGAATTTATGTCATAAGCTTTTCAAGCACCATTATTCAAAGAAAACATTTCTGCATGAAAGACCTGTTTTAAATTACCAGCAAAGGCAATTACAATTTTTCTGTCCATTACTACATCCAAAATAATTTGGGAATTTACCAAACCTTTAACAAATGAGTACCAGGCAGCCAAGCTGGCTGAATATGGCAATGATGAAAATAACTTCACTTTTATGTTACAAAATAAACACACAACTGACCTGCATGTCTCCCTCATACAATCTAGATTCAAACAGCAGAATACTTGGTCATCTTTGGGTGGAATGTCTGCAAAGCCACAGTAAGGACATGTTTCCAGTAATTTTATACCACGCATTTCCATCTCCTTCAAATGCCGTATGTGGAGAAGACAGGAGAAAGTGACAGGTTTTACTGCTTTCTGTACAGAAATAAAATTACAACGGTAAAACAATATATTAATCATAACTGTTATACCTGTTACCAACAGTAAAACCCAATTAATCACCAAGCATGCAAGCATCTTTGGTTGAATTACTTTCTGTGCTTTCACATTTATTCAACCCTCTTGAAACTATTTCAGTTTGGTATGTAACTGTATTCAAGAAAAGAGTAATTATATTTAATGATATAAACCACATTAATCTCAACTCCATTAATCTGTATTTACTCACTCAAAATCACTAAAATCCAAGGCTAAGCTGTAACAGTTATAATCCAACATACAGCAAGTAATGCACATTTCAATTTTTTTTTAAGATTTAATTTTTTATGGTGTAATGGATGGGGCGAGAGGTGTGAACGGGATATTGGTCAGTAAGTCTGAAGGGAAGAGACCGCTGGGGAGATCTAGATGTAGATGGGAGGATAATATTAGTAATTTCTCCTTTTGAAACTGTCCTCCATATTTGAAAAGTTCTATATTTAAACCATCCAACCCTAGGCTTTTCCTATTCTTTGCCTTTTTTAGCACATCATTCAATTCCCCCATTTTTTTTAATATCTGCTGTTTCATTGCAATAATTGTTGTCGTTATTTTCTTGCGATAGTGAATGGGAATCAAACCATAGTGTTTTATAATGGTTAATCCATTCTTCTTTAGGTATTATATTGATATGGAGTTTATCCTTTGTGTAATTTCTTATAATATTTAAACCCTCTCCTTTGTGGTCCTGTAATATTGCATTCAACTGATTTTACAAACTTATCCCAATCTTCCCTTCTGTACTTTCTAGTTAATTTTCTAACTTTAGCTCTAAGTTTCTTGTATTCTGTATAGTGTTGTATTTGTTTAGTTTGCAAATAAATTTTATAACAATGAAGTAAAAATGAAAAAAAGTGTGTTATGAAATCTGAAAATTTTAAATAAGGTCCTCTCACATACAAATGGGCACAGGCAAGAATAAAAGTATGAAACTGTGTTTTATGTACTAGAGATTGCTCATATCAATGTTCGAGTCTGTTACCTCCATGAGAACTCATAAAAAACAATGAATTAATAGCCACATCATACCTTTAACACTTCCATGCTGAATATATACTGGCATTCCTTACGGAGACATGAAAATGGATTTTCACATCCAAGGAGTCTGGAATCCACCACACTAAATATAAAACATTCACATAAATTACTACAAGAATCTACAATGAATAATGAAAAAAACCCTAGGATAACAATGTTACTTACTTCTGGATGCAAATTTTACAGAAGTGGTGGAACACGCTACATGGTGCCATATCCTCAATCATCAGATCAGTAACACCACAGCGGCCACACTGCTGCAATTCTCCTCTTAGTTTTGCCTTACAAGAGGAATGTATACATTTTAGAGAAAAATACTGAATACATTTCCTCACAGAGGTTAAACCATAAAGGCTCAATTGTGAAAACAACAGAATTTTACAGAGCCTCAGTCATTTATTCACTGTAAGCCAACAACAAAGCTTAATATATCCTGAATTGAAATTGCTTGGTTACACATACGTATACTACTGGTTTGGGTAAATTTTAAAAAAACAAGACAGCTTGTGCTTCAGTATAGTATAGTACAGTCCAGAATAATGCTATAAAACTCTCTACTGAGAACACCAAGGCTTGGGAATTGGAGAGCCAAGATGTGATACACTAATATATGTTGTAACTCTAAACAGAGACTTTGCACTTACCACTAAATAGTCATGTCTCTAGAATTTCACTATATGTATTTTTTTACAGTTCCTATTACTTATTAATTTATTGGGTTGATAAAAGTAAATTACACATGCCAAATCAGTGCTATACCAAATAATAATTAAGAATTTAAGTGGAATCCCAAATAAAGAGCATGGGATAAGCTATTACCTAGAACAATTATCTGTACATTAGTAGTATTATATTAATTTATATACTGCCTTGCTTGAATCTTCACTAAACACAGACCCACTATAATGTGACCACTTATTACATACAATAAATAACTAACTAACTAAATGGCTTAGGGAACTAGAAGGAATTTAATCAATATCTGAAGATTTATAACTTTCAACTTTTCAATGGCTAGTTCAACTTCATCTAAAGTACGTTCAGGCACCAACAGTTCCATATGTATTTTAATCCAACATCAACAGTCCCATTAACATTTAAGAGCTGATTAAAGAAATTTTTACACTTATTCAAAATTTTGATTGGACCTCCCAGTAAGTTGTCATTAATATCCTTTACCAAATTCATCTGAGGTTGATATCCCTTCTTAAAATAATTTATGCCTCTGTACAGGTATCCGATATTTTTATCCTTACTATTTGTTTCAAGTCTTTTCTTATTCCTAAAGGTTCTAGCTTCATGTCTCTTGTTACATAGATTATCAGTATGAGTTTTGTTTTGGGTCCTGCAACCATTGAAATTTTGTTTTCTTCCTTCAGTCTATTAATTTTGAACAATCTTCATCAAACCATGGTATATTTTGCTTTCTACTGTAGTATCCTAGTTTCTCTTTAGCTGAAATTTTGATGCAGTCTCTTACATTTTCCCACTACCTGTTGATATTCACACTGTATCATCTTTATCTGTCTATAACATTTCAAACCTATTTGAAATATCAACTTGATATTGCTTCTTTACCTCCCCACATTTAATTTCTTTAAAATCACATCTTTGTGACCACTAATTACAATACAATTTAAAATGTTGTCACAGAGCATTGATTTGTTCAAAAACTTCAAAATTTGGCTACTGATTAAATAGTTCCAAAATTACCTTCTTGCAAGTCAGTATCATATGGGTTCTCTGATATTCATTATAGTGAAGTCCTCCTGCATAAATTCAAATTGCAAGTATGTCATGGGCACATTCAGTCTCAAATGACATCTATATGAATTCCAAAATGTGTAAATGATAATGTAAAATCCTTTAACAGCCGAGTTTATTCAGTGTTAAAAGAAAATGACTCAAACAACTTCTATCCAGTTACTTATACTCATTTCTTTTATACATAAAAATAGCTTATGTCTGATACACATGAAGACAACAGCTGTATGAATGTATATCTTTACATGCCATTCATAACAGTTTCAATTTATAGAAGGAGATCATTGTCCACTTACAATTTCAAATGTAGTTGTTTTCTTCCTCTTTTTAGATTGAAGATGGTTTTCAATTACTCTCTTATTTTCAATAAATGTCACCTACAGGAGACACAAAGAAATATATACATAACACAAAATCATATTTCAATGGCCAAATATATATGTCTTTCCAGGCATATTCTAATTATGTTTTATAAATATGTGAGTCTTGTAACCCAAACTCTCTCAAATTCTTTAAATCTTGGCAAATTCAAACAACATAATTCATACTTACCTTACAACATAATGAATACTTACCTCATGTACAAATGACATGCTGAGTTCATGTGGTTTTGGACACCCACAACCTGTACCAATTTTTCTGTTTGTTCTTCTCTGAGATGATCTCCATACATCAAGTTCATCGCATGATAATGTTAAGCTTTGCCTGTTTTTCTCAAATATAAATGCAATATCAGGAAATGGAATTTTCCTGTACTTTGATTTAAGATACATTAATGCAAGACATTCATCATTATACTTTCTTTCATTACTTCTTTCTTTTCTGAAGTATATGAATGGATCAGGTATAGCGCGAAGAAATTTTTCAACACTGAAAGCATCTCTGATTTTTTTCAGAAATGCCTCTATATAGTCACGTGAGAAATAAATAATTTGTTTTTGGACCGGAAGTCGCAACAATGGAACAGTGTACACCACCTGGTTTTCACACTCAGTAATTGTCATTTTAACTGGCAGTAACTGGACATCTGGAATGTAGTCTTCTCTTTGTTCATCTGCTGTTGTTACTGATGATGGTAAGGCTTGAATGTTTTCATTACAACTTGATCCTTCTTCCACACTTTCTGTAACATGTGAAGACATTTCAGAAGTACTGATGTCCAACTGGGAACATATTGTGATACTTTGTTCTGTATGGTCACTGCTGGCTTCATCATGTATTTTGTTAATAGTTCCACACTCACCATTACCATCTGTTTGACTCACAGAATTTGATTCTATTACTCTTTTTAGCTTTTTCACAATGTTACTTACACTGTCACTAATTTCTTCCTTTGCAATAGGTTCATTTATTGGTTCTCTTTTACTTCTGCTCATCACCTGATTTGAAATTTTATTGGAACAAGAATTATTCTTCATACCCATATATTTTTCCTTTCTTACACTTTCATTACATGGTGTTTTGAACTCTGTCTTAAATTCTTCAATAACAGAATTAGAACTTACATTTTGTAAGTCTTCCTTTTTAACATGATCTGAAATAGTGGAACCTGTTTTGTGATTTTTAGTATTTTGTTGTGTTCCGTTAATCCCTGGCCCTGGTTTTTTCATGATAACTTTAACTTTAATCTTTGGCTTTTTCAGATGTGCTTTTGAACCATTCTCATCATGTTCATTTTTTATCTTCCAATTAGAAATTTCATTTTTAGGATGTTTGACTTTTGTTAAGAGTTCATTCTTAGCATTTTGTATCTGTATATTGTACTCAGAATTTATGCTGTGCTGCTTTTGTTGGTAACACGCAGTTGCCTGCCTTTCAAATGCATGGGCTTTGTCAGTAGTCTTCATAATTTTCATTGCTTGTGATACCACTTCCTTAATGGAACAACATTTCCTTTTCAGTTCTCCACAACCTTCAGACTGTTCTGACAGATCATCAAGCTTACTGCTTGCTTCTAATTTACATGAAGCTGTATCATTTAAGGCACATTTATTGTTTAAAATACCAAAGTTAGATATTGCTCTTGAACACTGGGATGTGTGGGAGCTGAGGCTTTTCAGAGACTTGATATCTTCATTATTACACTTACTTTCCAGTGTATCTGAATCTGAAATAGTAATAACTGGTATAAATTTGGCATATCTTCCTAAGAATTTAACATCTTCAGTGTCATTTGTGTCAGCAAGAGTAATAACTGAAGCATTAACATTGCTGGCAGGATTTTTAAGAAGAATTACTTCATTACAATCATCTGTGGTAAGGTCAATAACATCATTTCCAACTTCCAAAGTGTTCATTTTCACTTCCATCTGATGCCTGGAACAAAACAAGCTCTTACTATGACAGCATGTTCAAAGCAGGTATTTAGAAAATTATGGTAAATATTAGAGCTTCAACATCTGCAGACAGGGTAACAGATCTTTTCTGAACATAATTTGAATTTAATACCCTCTGAATCAACAGCAAACAATTCTAAAACAGTAAACAGACAAAGATTTAGGGTAAAAGTTATGAGAAGAAATACATAATATATTTATTAAAGTCTATTAACCATTAAAATATAGTGGTATCTGTATGTAACATCTGATTTTCCATTTAATAATTTTGTATTATGTCCACAGAACGTATTTGTTTGTTTTATATGATTCTCAGAATAAACAGCAATCATTTCCTTAAACAGTATTTACCAAATGATCTTTGTGATGGTGGTGGCTTGTATTTTCTTAGGAACTGAATGGCATAAAGATGTATCCTTCATATGCCAAACATTAAATACAATAAATGTCAAAAAGGAGTTTAGCATTTACCTCATCCAAATATTCTCAGCTATTATAACTACACACCTGCAAGCAATAGTGATTATGCTTTCTTGTGTTATTTTTTATAACACCTACCTGCATTACGGAACGAAGACATATATCTACCTTAATCGTAGTATATAGTAAAACATAATGTGACATTACCTCTAAAGAAAATATTTCATCTTATACCTCACAAGTGTATCATTCCTATAACAGCACAATACTAGCTGCATCAGTAGGGATATCAGATTAAGCAGATAATATAAATATATTTCTCGATTATGATAACAGATTTCCCACCAAAGTAACTTTAAAATTAGAACTCACCCCGACTACTGACTGACAGGTAAACTTAAAAACCAGAGATTATAAGTTTAATAATACTCAAAGTTTGCTTTCTATTATCTGCTGCTCCCATAACCTAACTTTGGTTACTGTGGCCTTACCGACCACAAATAACCAACATGTAGTGTCCTCCTGTCATTTATCCTTAACGAAACGTCAATGTCGGTATTAACAATTGTTAAACGTCGAATTGAAGGTAAACAATAATTGCCATATAGAAGGCCTCATTGAATACAGATGTGCCCAAAGCAGCTCCCCCCTCCTTAAGTTAACTCCCGAAAATTAATATTGTACGTAAATTGTCGTCTTTAGCAATTACGAAAAACATCTCTGACATTACTAATCGCCTTAGGCATATGGTAGGACTCCTTGGATGAGCAATCACTTTGACAAAAGACCTCAGGCCAGCATAATACAGGAAAAATGTGGACGGACATCCATACCTCCAGTGGTAATCGAACCCATAATCCCAGTGCGTGATCCTCTACTGCGCCGCCACTGATCACCTTTGTGCATTAGTATGAATAATAATTTTGCATTTATAATTTCAGACATAGTTTGCATGATGCAGGAGCTGGAGAATGATATTGAATGTACATTGTCATATGCAGTTTTATCTTAAATTTATATCCATTTAAATGTAAAGTAAAGTGAAGTAAAGCTGTCCCACTGCACACCATGTAGGAGCTTTCGGGCAGATGCAGTCTAGCTCCTACCCATCCTTAACCTCAGCATTAGGTAGGGGTCAGTGGTCAGCAACACACCCTGGCCACACTTAACCTCCAGGAAAGGATCCCAGAACCCACTAACTAGGACGCTGGGTGGGCCACAAAGCCAGTCTGCATGCAGAGACTATATAATTTAAATGTTATTGATATGATAATTCATAAGATGATGGTTTGTTATAAAGCGTACAAGGTCACACTTTATAAAACCATTCTTTATGTAATACCGCACTGGATGTTAATTGCACAAGAGTTGGTGTATTATCTAAATTCAATTACTTAGCTTCATGTCCACTGGCCTATGTTGAGATTTCCATTGTTGGTCTACGGTGAACCACGGTTGCATTGTCTGTGCCTGTGAACTTCAACGTTGCGTGGGTATGAATTGTATGATTTAATATGAATTAATTTGTTTGCCACTGATGATGACCTCTTGAGGTCAAAACGCATTTGTCACCAAGTGTCTTTTCAAAGTGTAAACAGTTTTGTTTGTATGCATGATTTTATATATCAATACACTGCATGGTAAGCAAGGTTTTAAGGTTGAATGTTACTGATGCAATTAAAAAATGAGGTTGTGAATACATATCCTATATACGTACATGTAGCATGCATGTGGCTACAGATCATGTAAACGCATAAAATAATGCACTCACTTCCAGCTTCTTGTAACAGAAAATTTCCTTTTTACTAATAAATATCGAAGTTACTTATCAATTAATGTTTGTAAATGTGACCTATAAAGAAAACAAATAGAAGAAAAGTAAAATACAACCCATCAGCATGAGATGTCATGGAACTGATGATTAAAGTTGCCCATTCATGAAGCAATCTGTTAATGAAATGTGCCAACTGTCCCCATTGTCAACTTAACTACACTTACGACAGCCATTTGTGTACGATACCAAGTATTATTTGTTGGTAGCATATTATAAAGCTGCAGATCAGAACACATATTTATTCTTTCCTTACATTTTTCTTTTTCTGTTCTTAGAATACTTATTATGTTCTGTTTTACACATTTTATCTTTATTTTTTATTCACTGTTTTTTGCCCCCTCCCCACAGCCTTGCCATCTTAGGTGACCGTCTAGTTTGCCTACTGGTTAAACCAGCTGCCTTTGCATTGTGCTCTCTAATGAAGCTTTTCATTTTTAAAATTGAATGGGGATAGTCCAAGGATCATGTTACCACATCCAGGTATGCATAGAAGTTTTGAAGTTGTTGTTTTCTCGTATAATTATAACTGAACCTGTCTCTGAGCCATGAAATAATTGAGCTTGCAGTAGCAGTAGTTACTTTCACACATGAAATTCAAAATTGCTGTCAGCTGCCACTCAGTTACATTTTTGTTCTGAATACCAACTCACATGTGTGTGGGTGCATGCATGCATGCTTTTTAAGTTGCACTACAAAAATGCAGAAAGAATAAATTAACCTTGAGATGGAAGGAGAAGTGCTTTCATTCATATGAGATTCAGATTGTCAGCAATTTCACAACCAGAAAATGTTGGCAGTGGTGGTGGTGATGTGGGTAACATACCAGTAATTGTGCATATCAGTTCTGAGGATGGAGTTATCACAGCACTGTGCTTATGTACAGACAAGTGCCAACAAGTGGCAGATGAACTAGAACTTTGAGAAAGAAAATAATCTGTCTAGTATACCCGACTAGTCAGTGGCAATTTTTGACAGCGTGCCATTCCACCACATTAAAATTTACATCTTGACTCTTGTAACATACATGTATTTTTTAAGTACATTTCACGTTGAAAGATGCCGGTACAATTTATCGTGTATAAAAGAAATCTTTATATATACTACATGGTGAATGTTCACTGCTGTTCAATTTTTTTATGTAATTCATTCCCACACAAGCTATTAAAAGTCGCCTGTGTTGGTCTTCTTTCAGGCACTTGGTATGGAAATACAGTGCTACTACAGTGAGTGTATGCTGTGCATTAACTAGCAGCCAGTTGCTAATTTGGTAATATACAGCCTTTGTGAAAACACCAATGGAGTGCAGTTACAGAAATAAAGGTATAGAATTAGGCATAGGATCAAGAAAAAAGAAAGAATGGAGTGTGGAAGAAACAAAGAAAGAATACATGCTGCACTACAAAATAAAAACTAACATTTTCTAATAATAGTGTATAACTGTTGTTGTGCAGGGCTGCATAACAAAATATGCAAAGGCACTGAACATTCATCCTATATATTATACATACACAGGGGTCAACAAATGTTGACTCACTTCACCAATCAGACAAAAATCTTGCTTGTCAAACATTTCCTTGATGAACAGTTTTTGTTGGCAAACAACTAATTACAATTTGGATTTGAGATTATCACAGCAGTGAGTCTGAAGATGGCTGTCTTCTGGATTGTTGCACTGTGTAGTCTGGTAGAAATTTACCAGCATTTCAGAGGTCCCTGCTCATCACCCTGACGATGGAGGCAGCAAGAAATCTCTAAAACAGACTAATTACAACTGACCAGCACAGTGGAAAGGCAAGACACTACTATGGCCAGCTCTTAGCATCTTACACATGTTGAAACAGAATTAAGAAAAACAACTGTCAAACTGTATTTTACTCCAATCACTTTTTCCCAAATTCCAACATTCACACAACTCAGTATCATATTAGCAAAGGTTATCATACCAATAGCATTTACAACAATGAAAAAATAGTAGCTAAACTTTTTCTTCATTCTTATTGATTATCATGTATGAAGTATATCTGAAAACCTAAAAAATTATGAATACTGTCAATGGAGAGGGACTCTTATGAATAACAATTAATAACTATATAATAAAGTATTTATTTATATTTTATGTATGTACACATTACTAATAGCAAAATACTGTGGAAGTAGATATCATGTTCCACTTGCAAATTAACATACATTGTTTTCACATTAAAATCTCAGTTTCATGAAAAAAGAAAAGGCACGTCAATGACATCACTTGTATCTCACCCTCATTATTAAGCACAATTTAATTTCTAAATAATGTACACAACAAAATTACATAGAATTTCTGACACTTAAAGTGCCTTACAGAAATAAACAAGTGGCAGTGGAGTTCTGTGAGCATCACCATTGGCTGAATCTCTAAACTGAAACATTCACACGCAAAATTACAAGTGCATACTATGATTAAGGTATCAGAAAGTTTTCACTAAAAATTACTATAACATAGTATAGACTTAAGAAGTTTGTTAATGGAAAGTCTTTGACTGATTATGATACATGATGGTATGATGGTATGAAGGCATACTTCTTGGCCTTTTGTTCCTTGTTATATTAAAAATCTGATGTTAGTTTGAAATTGTTTCAACTGTCTTCCAAAATGTTTACTTCAATGGTATCCTTGCAAAATATGCTGAAAATCGAGAAGTAAATATGAATCTTTACTTAAGAGATGTATTCAAAATGAATCTATACAAAGCAACATACAATTTACACTATTTAACATTACTTATTAAATTATACTATACTAGTTATGCATCTTGGTCACCATTGTCCGTAATCAGTATCTTTAATATAACACAGTTATTAAGGCACTTAACTGGATTACCTCATCATACAAGACATTTCATTTTAAGGACTGAGTGTCCACAGATTAGTAACATCAAACACCATATAAATAGTATTATTTGGATGGCTGTTTAACTGGTGGTTTGCCGCTGTACATTGAGACCTAGATAAAACTAGTATAACTTGGTACACTTCACATGTCATATAAATTAAAACACAAAATTGACTTCAGAGTAAAAAGGATTCTTGCTATGATTTTGAGCTAATACAATCAGTATACAGGCCACAAGTCTTATAAATTACAATACAAACAGAGTTCAAAGAAAAGAGGACTTTAGTCATTTTCATGCCAGTAAAATTTACTTATCAGTTACTGTTGTTCTTAATTTACATATGGAATGAGATTTACTGTTATTTTAATAATGTATTTGAAGAAAATGATGTAAATGCAGCAGGAACACCTAACACTGCCTTAACAGTCTGTTTTAATATAATGAGTATTGTGCCACTCAACAGTGGGTGTGACTAGTGGTGAGTGTCATTTCCTCTTACTTATGCCTGTACCTGATTTCTCCAGATGAGGGCCATACGATGGAAGTTGTCCAGCCTGTGTACAAGATTTGCAACAAAAGCGGGCATAGTATTTATGTGTACAATATTGCCCAGCCACAATGAGGCGGCAATTGGCAAAGAATGGATTATCTGTGCAGTTCGGATGGATATACACCCCTGAAATAAAGTTTTGAATTATTTCTTAAAATACAATACAGTATCTTAAGTGTGTGGAAAAACAGTCAGAGAAATGATACCAACAGCAGTAAATTTAAGGCAATAAGGTCTGGAATACATACCTATGAAGAAACAGAATTACCTCTGTCTGTTTCTGTAGCTGTTTACTTGAATTAGGCAATCTGATTTTATTACTACAATTTTTATGTAAACCAGAAGCTATGGTATAAAAAAGTTTCTGCCAAGTGTGTTAAAAAGTTTCTGCCACTCTAACTTATCTATTTTCCAATACTTCACAGAATAAAAGAACAGGATCAAAATGGAGACATTATGTAAGCTATGCTAGAAAGCTGATTATTTTGAAACTGATTCATCCTTAATAGTCTACATGTCACTAAAACATTCTATGTTAAATTTTGAAATGAACAGACTACAATTTATTTTACAATTCTCTGAACTTTAAAGAATTTAAATGCTGATTTAATCCAGCTGTGAAGTTGTGTATGGAAAATTAAATATCCATATCTCAAAGATTAATCAAGGTAGTACATATCCTACTACATGGAACTGTGTCACATTCAGGTAAATGTATTAAACATGCACAAATATGGAAAAGATTCAGACTAATGACTGAAGGAGCCAAAATCGAAAGTGGCACACTCTAACAGTTGTGTCCATCCAGAATGGGCCAATTATCAGTCTCCTGTATTCTGAATTTAAAATTAATATTTGCTTACCTTCCACTGCTATGGAGACTGAACTAGATGAATGTCCATACTGATTAGACGCTGAACATCTGTATGCTCCAGCATCACTTCCATTTGCTCGCATAATCAACAGGCGATGGTTTTCTGTATAAAAAAATATTACATGTGAAACACTATTAATATTAAGTGAAAGAAAACAGTTAAACCCATAGTCGAATCCTACTGCTGTTGCTGAGACATCTGATATTGTTCACGATCTCATCATTAAAGTTCTGTAAATTTGCCCGGTATGCGTTCCTGGACAAACCGGCGTAAACGGAATCGGCGTAAATTGAAACTCTTTTTATAATGTAAATCAATGGGAAATCAATGACATGTGTTCCCAGCAACCAAACATTGACGAGTAATATAATGGCATTACATTTTAAGCTCTGAAATAACGTAAATAAAATAAAGGGAATTTAAAGAATATAGTTTATACACTTACAATCGGCAATTCGTTGGTCCCCACAATTGACTGCAATTCTTTCATGTGATTGATGTGTACAGTCATCTCTGCTGTTATGCAATAGTTGCATTCATGTAAGAAGCTGACCTATAGAAAATCGCGTAGTAAAAATAACCCCAGTACCTCTGCAGAGATTAAATTAGTCCTTTGAAAGTTTAAGGCACCAGAAATGAAATTGCATAAGAGCAAACTCGCATATGCACAAGTTTGCATTTCACTTACAGATTTTACCGATTAATCGATCTCATTTGAGCAAATTCGTGTTAACGAAACATACATAATTGCAGAGATGACTGTATTTATATTTTTTATTCAAAATCAGTGATGTACGAATTACGATTTATTATAAGAATCAGTACGAGATACATTGTAAAACGTTATAAATAATAGTAAAATATATTTTTTTCACTTTTTGACTTGCTGGTTTCAAAATCGGCGTTATTCTGAATTGGCGCAAATTGAACCGGCACAAATCGAGGGTTACCTGTACTCACCTGTGATGTGTATCCTTCCACTGGGTTCCAACAGTTGTTCATCTTTATACCAAACTACCTGAGGAATGGGGTACCCATCAACATCACATGGGATTGAGATGTCACTTCCAATTGGATAAACTGTTCGAGTGAGTGACACATTGGCTTGCACAGGAACTAAACACAGGAAATCAAAAAATAAAAACACTTACTAATAAGATTTTTTTAAATTGTTTTCTCTTCCTGTTACTTTCCATGGAATTTTTAAGTATTTATGAAAATGACCATGCATGATTGGCAAAAATAATTAACCCTTTATTTGTTCACCTGCAATATTTTAAAATTTAAATCAAAACATGAAACTCAGAATGGAAATATATACATGTATTTGTTAGGAAGTTTGAGTCAATATTTTATTGTAATTACAAAATAACCATTATCCAAAAATCTTACTTTAATTTCAGAAACACTCTTGTGTGTCATGTCACAGTGCCACCTCTTCTGTTGAAGATATAAATGTAGTACTCTTTGATTAAATTAGAGGAAAAAATTCAGTTGCACACTGATAATTGAACCTGAAATTTAAGTCTGGCCAAAAGGCCTACAGTACACATGTTTTAATCCCCTATTCACATATTTAAAGATTAAATTTGGCAATAAATTGTGCTACTTTTATGAGGCATGAGTGACTATGATCTAATTAGACATTCTGTCCTGGTATTAGACTGTGTGCTTCATTTCATTCTATTACAAACCCTCTTCAAACTTATATGATACACTAATGTTCACGCAGCTGTCAGAACACTTCATGATTCAAAAGAATATCTAGGTATTCTATGTAAAATGAAACTTAAAATTCTTAAACCCTAGAACAGAAACCGAAGAACTTTGATCTGAAATTATAGGCCCTAATGAGTTTAATCAAAATAGTTTCTTTGAGAATTATAGCCATATTAGCACTAGCTCTGAGTACCCATATTTCAAAATTCCCAAGCTCAGACGTGTCTGCTTACCTATGAACACTCTTGGAGTAAGTTCAGGTTCAGGATGGGGTGAAATTTCTGGAGGAGATGTGGGCTGTACAAAAGGAGGGCGAGTTCTAGACTGAGGCTGGGGAGGTGGGCGGACAGGACGGTAAGGGTATGATGGTCTTTCTGTAGGAGCTTCAGTTTCAGGGATTTCAGGTCTCTTTGGTGCAGGAACAAGGTACTCATTATATTTAGAGTCCCCAGAGTACACAGGACCTACAGCTTGAACTGTAACAGTCCATGATGCAGCTCTGCCATATCCATTATATGCTTGGCATGTATAGGGGCCAAGGTTTCTTAAGGTTACAGAGCGGATCAGTAAGGAATAATCTCGTCGCTGTTCAAACTGCTCTGAACTTAGTGGCAGCATGCGATCACCACGCCACCAAGTGACGGTTGGAGGAGGCCAACCCACAGCATAGCACTGCAGTATTGTTGGAGCACCCAGTGTAACCACCACATATGTCTTGTCTTCACCAATCACCTCAGCAGGACGTGAAGTAGGCTCTACAAGTATTGTTAGTGACGTACATCCATGCAAAACAACCACTATGCACCAACGTATCAAGCACATCAAAACATGATTAATCTCAGATAAAGATTTGTGCACATACTGAAGAAGAAGAAGAAGAAGAAGAAGAAGAAGAAACAGTTTTAAGGCAGAATAAAAATATATCACATTCTAAATCTTATCTGCCATTTTTCATGTGCAAATTTTGTTCTCAATGTTTAAAAATTATGCATCCAAAACAAATATCAGTCTAAATAAAATATGTTTATACCTTAAAATGTATTTTCAAACATTTGGGACATTCACATAATAACGTTCCAAATGTTTGGGACATAATAACATCCCAAACATTTGGGACGTTATTATGTGAATGTACGCACATAAATAAAATTGTATAATAAATTAATCAAGCATGCATTATATTTTAGAAGATTTGGACAGATACTGATTAGTTGTGCTTTAGGAAAATGACATAGCTCAGTGACAAGTAAATTATTTACTAATATGTAAGTATTATGAACTTTGCTAAAAGGAGTCCAAGTAATCATGAAGAAAAAGAAGTAAATTAATCAGCACTTCAAATATGTCATCCATAAGATGTAGATTATATTACAATACTAAGGTATCACAAAACAAAAACAATCAACATAGGAAAATGTATGAAAGTATATTAAATAATCTGTGCTATCTGTGTAATTATGGTTATAGGTCTGTTTCAGTATGAATGACCTGTACTCTGTTACAAAAAAGTATAAAGGCTATAAGTACCCTATTGACTTGTAATTACAGCAAAATTCTTCATTGCAGTAATAGGGAATTCAAAATTAAATAAAAATCAGACTACCAATAAATCTGAATTAACAGAAAATGTTTTGTTGTAAAACGTATTAACATAATTTTTTCATTTCTCATTTCTCACATGCATGCAAATGAAACATCAGGGAGGAACAATTCAGAGCTTCCTTACAAATTTGTCATAAAACAAAAAATCACCTATTGTTTTCTTTCACCAACCAAACACAGTTAATGATTAGGATAGTTAACGTATCAGTTTCCTGTGCTTAGAAAATGAATTTCATGCTAAAAAACCCAAGCTGTTAAAATAAAGACAGACATGCAAATATAATAAAATTAACTACTTAAAAAATTATACAAATTATGTTTTGAATTTAATATTTCTAAGTCAATTCACTTACCTGTTACTTCTAATTCAAACTCTCTTTGTATTGGCTTACCAATACCATTATCTGCTATACAGATATAAATGCCGGAGTCCTTACGATATAAACCAATTATCTGCAAGGATCCATCAAGCAGCAACTTATACCTTCCAGAACCATCAATCTGTATACAAATTTTAACACAATTAAAAAAGGAAAACAGGCAGCTGATAAGATTATGATTAAACTTTTGTAAACTGCAAGATTAACAGGTTCCTACAAAAAATTATACAATTCACATTAATGTAATCTTCAAACAAAAGAGTCAGCACATGGAACATGCTGGAAACATGAATTCCTTCATGACATCGGGCAAGAAAAGTTATCCACCTAAAGAAATATTATTAGGATAGTAGCATTCTCTCAGTTTTTGATATATAAATTCTGTCAACTAGCTAACACCATCTTTAAACCTCATCTAGCATGCAGACTGTAGTTTCTCCACCTATGCATTATAAAATGCAAGGCTAGAATACATGAATGACATTTCAGACATTACAATTAAAAAAAACACTTTAAATGACAGTAAACTCCACAAATGTCTACAGTTTAATATCAAACAGGTCTTGCAATGAACAAGTGAAACAACTGCCATGAGTGACCAACACAGTTCTGACAGACAGTATGGTATTAAAATGTTATTTTAGGCTTAATTTTATACAAAAGTTAAAGTATAAACTATTATACAAATGTTAATTTCTTAAACATTTATCTTTTTTTTTCATAGTCAAAATTTGAAGTTTCAGCCATAGCAGAATTTTTGTTGATAATATACGAGGTGCGATCGGAAAGTTTAAAGACTGTGTCAATAGCGGGCGAACCGGATGTAGTACAAGCTTCTGCCTTTATGGGGTGCGGCCTACATTCATAGTGAATCAGTGTGCCAGCCGGCATCATCGAATAAGCATTTGTTTCTTAGTTACGGGCGTTTTGGTAGTTCATTACACCGACCCTCCTGCGATTTTGGAATGGCGTGTGCATCAAATTTTGCCAAAGACTCGCCAAAACGGCTACGGAAACCTATGAAATGCTAAAGCAAGCATTTGGGGAGTCCGCAAGGGGTCGTGCACAAACTTTTGTGTGGCATTCACGTTTTAAAAATGGCCGAACCTCTGTCGATGATGACGAGCGTTCTGGACGACCATCTTCGAGCACAACGCCCGAAAATGTTACGAAGATTCGGCAGGCCAGTCACGAAGATCGACGTCGTACCATCAACGACTTGTGCGACATTGTTGCGTGAAGATGTGCCTTCTTCGCCGTGTGACTTCTTCCTCTTCCCAAAGATGAAAATTCAGCTAAAGGGAAGGAGATTTGAGACGATAGAAGAGATTCAGGCAGAATCGCAGATGGTGCTTGACAGGCTGACAAAGAAAGATTTCCAGGGATGCTTCCAGGCTTGGCAGCGGCGCTGGGATCGTTGTGTTCACTCCCAGGGGAACTACTTCGAGGGTGATGGATGAACTTAATACCTGAGATAAGTGTACGGGTTTTTATAGGCGCAGTCTAGAAACTTTCCGATCGCACCTCGTATAATTTTTAACTCTAACCCTTAAATGCAATCAAATCTACAAATAATTTAGAGTTCTAAAACTGAACTGTTGACACAACTATATTGATAAGGGTTGAACGTACCATAGCTACTCCCTTCCTCCATGAAATTGTTGGAGTTGGTCTTCCTCTTGCTACACAACGCAATGTCACATAATTGCCTTCTTCAGAACGCACCTGTGGCTTTGATTCTGTTTCCTCAAAGCTTGGGGGTTCAGCTGAAAATGTAAGACATTGCTTTTATTTTTAAATCAGCAAATAACATTTTTAAAACATAAAACACTCACATTGAGTTTAAACTTCTTTTTACTGATGTGATGGGGTGAGACTATATCTCTGTGGAACTGGGTCTCTAATGTGTCCTTTGTCTATCCCTGAGATGATATATGAGTGAATATGCTCTATGTTAAAAGGCACATTAGAATATTAGGGAGGACAACATCCACTTTCTGAGGAACATTTGGTATACACAGCATTTCTAGAGTCTGTTTTATTCCTGTGTTAAAGTAACTTTCTGTCATTATATAACAACATTTTCATTATAATTACAACAGTCACACGAAGATGGGTATACAGCCAGCTTGCAAAATGTCATATGTATAATATACACTTCGGACAATGGACAATGTTCAATATAATATTCATATAATAGATAATCATTGTCACAATCCTTTAAAAAGTTACTGACAACTGTGTACTATTGATCATCCTAACCTCCTTGTATACCATAAGACTCTGGTGGTAGTAAATGTGGTGCTTCTGTGGTTATATGCTCAGCAAATACAGGGTTCAGACAGGATGACACACAGCCACTGAAGCAGCATTTGGTATCTCCAGTACAGTCTGCATCTGACTGGCACTCCTGAACACAGTTCCCATCACTGACTGCAAATTTGGGACACTGTCCAGGTTTGTTTGCTACAAAACCACAAAGACAAAAATTACCCAAGTTGGACAGATACAAATTTTCAATTTTAAACACAATGTATATGCAAAAGATAGTGTCTTTATGATATGCATAAAATAAAACACTAATTTAACAATTTAACACTAACTTGGAAACTGCAACATTTTATTGAGTTTATGTTTTCCTTTGTACTATATTTGTCACAGCAAAGCAGCAAACAGCAACCTAATTATTCACTGCTGTTTCTGTGCTTCAAAAGTATGTGGTTTCAAGGCCTGATTTTAATGGCAGGCAAGCACATGATTATAAATGATAATAATTATAAATGGAAATATATCATTATGGTCAATTATCAGGTTCAATCTGAGTACTAATAATAAAATTTATAGTTAAAACAGCCAGAAATAACAAATGATCTTAGAACCATCAAAATATGAAACAGCTGTAACCTACAAGTTATGGTAACTCACTTGGTCTGCAGACACCTCTGAACTCTGTCTCATTTGTCTGTAGATTGTGATAAAGGTCAACAGCACACTGTGTTTCATTAGGACAAGAGTATTTCTTGCAAGGATCATGACACTGACATCTCTCACAATCATCAGAATCCACAAATCGTTCCACACCATAAGGACATTGTAGCAGATGGCATTCCAATGTGGCAGCTTCGCATTTGTTTTCACCAGGTTTTACTGGGCCAGAACCTACATCAATCTCATTAGCTGGAAAAATATTACATAATGCTATAATGCCATTACTTCTTGATGAGTATAAAACTAATATTTCTTTGCTACACTTGATAAAACAATTATTTTGCATGTTGTTTTGTATGGATGTGAAACATGGTATTTCACTCTCAAGGAGGAACATAGATTGCAGGTGTTTGAGAATAGGGTGTTAAGGAGAATATTTGGGCCTAGGAGAGAAGAGGATGGGGTATGGAGAAAATTGCATAATTATGAGCTTAAAAATTTATACTCCTCCCCCAATACTGTCAGGGTGATAGAGTCGAGAAGAATGAGATGGGTGGGACATGTGGCTCGCATGAATGGGGCAAGAGGTGTGTACCAGGTATTGGTTGGGAAGCCTGAGGGGAAGAGACCACTGGGGAGACCTAGATGTAGATGGGAGGATAATATCAAGCAAGATCTATGGGAGACAGGAGTTGAAGGCGACTGGATTTTGTTGGTCCAAGACAGGGACCAGTGGAGGGCTTCAGGGTTCCCTAACCATTCTAGTTAGTTAGTTAGCACTTGATTAATGCAATTCTGTTGTAACTAAATGGAGGTACAGATGAATATTCAAGGGCAGAGATACATGACTGAATGAAACTAAGGAAGATCTGCAGGATTGTAAAATTAATTTTATATATCAAAGATTCCCCTCTGGGGTGTAGGAAGTGGCAATCCCAGGGTACCCAAGCTACCCAGTGCCTGGGGGTTTAGCTGGGCCACCCTGTCTCCGGAGGATAGAAATTTGGAGGCCTGGTACTCCAGATTGGGAGTTGGCATGGGGGTTGACAGCCCCATCATGGAAAATTAATTGTACAGAAACCTAATATGAGAAGAAGCTAGACAGCTCTAACAGAAAAAGGCAGAAGATAGAACAGAATGAAAGAAACTCCTTAAGGAGGCTGTAGTGCCACAGAGTAGTAGTAGTATTATATTAGAGATTATTAGTTAAGGAGAAATTAATGCATAAATGGAAAAATATGGCAAGAAAAATGGTAAATTTGTTAGGAATATCATGACACATAAAGGAAGTAGTCATGTTTCCAACTTACACCAAACCAAAACCTGTATTTCCCTGTGCAGAAACTAGGCATCCTAAAATTAAACACTTGGTTTCTAGCACTATTCTGCAGCCACAATTTCTTCCAAAAGTAACCATTATGGATTAATCCTTATTTTTAATATTTCCCAGAATAAACTCAGTTTTAGTAATTTCTGATTCCAAGTAAAATAACTTCATATGAAGAGGCACTTATTTTTATTGTTCCATCCACCTCCTTATTTTATAAGAAAAGAATTTTATAGCATCATGTCTGTATACATGATTCCTGCTAATAAATTTTCAATCAACTTAAGAATTTTCATAAAGCCATAACACCTTCAAATATGCGATATTGCAACCCAACATTAACAACTTCACCATTGTGAAACACTCAGATCTCACACAACTTATAATATAGATCCCCAATACCAAATTTTGTCAAAATCTGCACTTCGGAAACCCATATTGTTGAAAGGGGACAGACACATTTTAAATTCAAGAGGTGTAGATTTGACACAAAACTCTACTAGATTTAAAGGAGCTAGGATAGTTCTGTCAGTACAGTAAATGGATGGCTGGACTTTGATCCCTGGCTGGGGCACAGGATTTTTCTTCCAGCCTCTTCATCCAGACAAGCTCTAGGGCCAACTCAGTCTCCCATCAATTGGGTACTGTGGATCCTATGTCCAGGTGTAAAGCATAGCTGGGGCATGAGACTAATCACCCACTCCTATCTAGTGCTGAAGTCAAGAAAGAGTAGGGCTATTCCTCCTCTACTCCCTACTACCCATAAGTGCCTTCAAGGCATGTACTAGAAACAGCTTTACCTTTGTAAGACTTGAGGTTCTCACAGCGGTGAGTATGAAGATTTCTGTCTTCTGGGTTATTGCGCTGTGTAGTCTGGTCGATGTTAACCAACGTTTCAGAGGTCATACTGCCTCCGTCATCAGGGCGATGAATATTCATCGCCCTGATGACCTCTGAAACGTTGGTTAACATCGACCAGACTACACAGCGCAATAACCCAGAAGACAGAAATCTTCAGCTTTACCTTTCACTGCATTCAAAATACACACATTTCAAAAGATGACACAATATTCTCCTACAAATGCTGTTCTAAAATGGCCACATAAGGCTTGTACAATACATTATGCAAAGACTGATACACAGAGATAAGAAAAATTATTCAATAAAGATAATTGTAAAAAGTGGAATTTCCAGAGAAGTGCAAAGTGTTTCATGCCAATACAAATTTGTTCTTCATGATTTGGAAGTTAAGTGGTGCAGAAGAAGGGTGCTGGTGCAGGTGCTGGTTATTATAGCGGCCTCACACTTACGTCGCACATCAGTTACACCGGGCTGTCCATACCCTTCTTGCAAGACTACAGAACAGAAATTAAGACAGGATTGGAAGTTCTTGAATCGGTTGCGATTTCCAGCACAACCACTGTAGATGAATGGAATGCAAGTCTGCCGATCCTCATCAAAATACCACCTCTTATAATAGCCACCTGAACATGGGCCAGTATCTACAGGCAGCTGACATACAGCTATGAAAAGATGATTGGATGAACACAATGAACTACATATTATGCTACATTAGTAATGCATTCATTAGTCTTTATCATAATTAGTAACTCAACAGAAGAAAAAATATTCCAAAGTAAATTAGTCATTTTACATGAAATCTATGTTACTTTGAATGAACAAAGGAATTACAAGACATACAGAATTTTATTCTCAGTTACCTCACTCTCTACTTTCTTATAAAGCATAATCAGAAGACAATATGTATTGCAAACTTGATATCTAGAAAACAACAGTTTTGTTAAAAGTTTGTTTCATTAATCTGATACTTAGTAACAACAAACTGGAAGGTAATTCATTACAGCAGCAATTATTTCTGACTTTTCTGTATAATACAGTAACAGGCACTTTACAAATATAATTTAAAAACATTTCTTTCTTTAAATCCGTTTTTTGGTTCAGAAATGTGAGCTCTACAATTTCCTGTCATCTGATAGAAAGTGACCATGAAATTCTTGAACCTGTCTTTTCTATTAACAACTACTGATAATATATTTTCTTCACATTATTAAATATTACATATAATACATGTACCAAATTTTATATTTGTATTCTAGACACCTATTCATGCCTGTGTAATACAAATCTAATAAAAACAATGATGACTTAAACTGCCTATTTGAAGAAAAAAATTATTCTGTGAATCAAACAGACTAGCAAATCAATACTGCTTATAGAAAATTAATGTGGCTTTGTGTTGTACTTTCTTTTACTGTCGCTGTGCTTCAGTTCTTTCCCATAATGACATGAAAATGGCAAGATTGACTGCTGCAGTGCTAGAAATTGGGCCCACACCCTACTATAAGCATTGATATGTTTGGCACCTTGTAGTTTTAGTGTAACATATACAGACAAATAATCTCATAATTTCAATGTTCATGTCAAAATTATTTTCAAGATTGAAACCTCATTATCACAACCATGCAGTTAGTATATTATAGACTACATTAATTCATGAAATCTGAAGGTTTCTGTTGATGGTGCTTTATGATCTGTAAATGTGGTGTTTTGAACTTCATCCGTTATCTGTTTTTCAATAAAATTATGATATTTTGGAAGGTCAGTCATCCCCCATCTTTAGGGAAAATGGAAAGGACAGAAACCCAATCTATTGAGCCCCCTGGTTGAGCTAGCCTCAGACCAGGACATTGTAATTTTACTGAAATACAGACAATGGACAAAGTCCAAAATACCACTTTTACAGACCATTACATTACTTCATTTCACTATATATATAATGCACATTTGTACAGCATCATATAAAATTTAACTTAATATTATTATACACCTGTATTAAATGACAGGCATTCCAATCCACTTTAAATTTAAACCTTTTACAATTCACTAACAAACTGTCATGTTATAGTCAGAACTATTGGTGTTAAAACAAACTGCACAGCACAAGCTGAACACCTGTGGATACTTCATATGGATCTAAAATATAAAGAGCCATTATAATTTGAATAAATTTGTATAACTGACTGACTAACTAACTGGCTATCTAACTCACTAATTAATTCATTCAGGAACTAATAAAACAACAAACTAAGTAATAAACAAAATAATGGCACTACATGGAACAGTATCTTCCTTGATTTAAAATGTGCATATTTATACACACTAAAAAAGAATATAAATTAAACAAATTTAAAGTCTTTGAAATGGTAATTAATGTAAATTTTACACTGATAATGTTTATTAGTAGCATATATGGAAGAAAATTAACCCTTATCTTACTGGAATAGAGAACTTTAACCTTTCAAACTAAGGATCTGTTTGCTGGACTCTACTTCCAGGGTTAATGTTTCAGTGGTATGCTAGTGCAACACACAGTAAGCTGGATTACATATAAGCCAACATTAAAAGCACAGAATTCCATTACCTTGGTGAGAAAGAGTTGTATCATTGCCACGAGGAAACAATTCTTCACGATGAAGACAGATGGTTTCACACTCTTCCAGAGAGCTGAAGCGATTTCCATTGCCACCACAGCCACCATACACAAATTCTTGGCAACCACCAGCTGTTGGATTATAGTACCACTTCTGGAAATACCCTCGGCAAGGGCCAGTTTCATAGGGGACATTGCACACATCTGTACATACAAAAAAGCAATAAAGTATATTCTATTTTCATGTAACTAAATGATGCTTCTTCTTGTAATGTAAGCAATATTTTTATAGCTGTAAAATTTGTCTGAATATAATAAATTATCATTAATATTGGATGATTTAAATGAATAGAGTCATTTATCAATCCATGATTCTGCAAAGTTCGATATGGAAATTCCTTTTCACACTACAAAATACTCCAAACTGGCCTTCCTCAAGGAGCTGTACTGAGTTGTACCTTGTTCAACATTTATGTTAACGATTTTATTAGCAGCCTGAAATCCGTACCTGGAGTTCAGTGTTTATTATATGCAGACGACCTCATGTTCTGGATGGAGAAGGAAAAAAGAGGAGCTGAAGATAATACTGAGATAACTCTCAAAGAGGTACTCCAAATACTTGAAAGCTTGAGTGAAAAGAATAATATGACTATAAATGCAACTAAGTATGCATCCCAATCTTTTTCACTTACACATGAACCAACACAACCTAAATTAAAGTACAAAAATATTGCAGTAAATCAAACAGACAGTTATACGTATTTGGGGGTAACTTTTGACAATAAATTATCTTGAAAGAAGCAAATTGAAAGGGTCAAACCCGAGCCACCAAACGTCTTGGTATACTAAAACATCTTACAGGATGTAAATGGGGCTGTGCTCATTCTACCCTTAACATAAAATATAAAATGTACATCCTCCCTACAATAACCTACTGTTGTGAACCCCTCGTCACTGCTGCTCAACAAAATTTACATAAACTGGAAAAGGTGCAAAACCAAGCCCTGTGACTTATCACTGGTGCAGTAAAGACAACTCTCATTACTGCCATGCTTTTTGTTACGAGTAATAGAACAATACAGGAATTAATAAAAGAAAAAACGGTAATTCTATATGAAAAGCTAATCAGAATACCAGGAGAAGAATACTGGAAAAGTTATTGATTAAGTGAACTGAAATTAAACACACAGAAAGGATTTGTACAATTTGCAACGGAATTAAAATCTGAGCTTGGATTCACAAATAAACCACAAATACTACTATAGATACAGAACCCAGTTGAGACTGATTACATTGAGTTTTACACTGATCTCCAACAACCAGTCTCAAAAAAGTTAACAAATCCAGAAATTATGAAGGCCCTAGCACAAGAAACTATCAACACCAAATACCCAAAGGAATCATGGCTTCATGTCTATACTGATGGCTCCAAAATTGATGGGTTTATCAATGCAGGCACAGGAATATATTGTGACCTATTCTTCCACTACAGTCCTGCTGGCCGTCATAGAACACCTTGTGACGGGGAAATTGAAGCCATTCTCATAGCAATGAATCAGTTATGCTACTTCTCAGAACGCTTTGTAAGAGCTGTATTACTATCAGATTCTAAGGCTGCAATTCAGTCAATCGGATCCACAAGCGCCCCCAAATCAATAGAAATTCAAGAGCGCTGCAAAATCCTTCACCAACTAAAGATAAAAAACAGAACTATAATATTACAGTGTATACCAGCCCATTGCCAAATACTTGGAAACGAACGAGCTGACCAACTAGCCAAGAAAGGGGCTAAGGTACTGCAAATAGATAACAAAGCATCATCTTTCCACTCCATTCAATTGTTCATATGACAGGCCTTGAGGAACAAACACTTTCAACAGTTGTCAGCACAAATTTCAGAGAAACAATGGAAGGAATCACTACTGAACATCCCAGATTGGCCCAGGTGGGACGCAGTTGCAGCATTCCACTTAAGTACAAGACACGATTGCTTAGCCAAGCACCTCCACCGGATTGGCATCTAAATCAAACCATCCTGTGTTATTTGTAACCGAGGAAATGGACAATCACCACCTACAACACTGCCCAGCTTTGAAGAGAAGCAAACTTTATGATCGCTACTGGGAAGCAAGACGTGTTATGGGTGAAAGATGAAATTCTATGTACCTGCCATTTGACATAAATAAATAATATTGGATGATTCAAGGCTTTCATGGTGACTGAATTCAATGAAGTTTCCCAGTCTATCAGCCATGTGATAATGGTATAATCTGTATCAGACACTGTCCCTGCCTCCATCATCATAGATAAATTTGATTACAATGCCACTCTCACATGGCTGATTGCCCAAGAAGACTTCATTGTATCAATAATAATGGCTCATTACTGACAAAAAAGACATATTAATTGTTTTTCCTTAGCAGATACTTCAGATGTAAAAATTACTTTTTTATTTTGCACTTTTGATTACCAAACAGGATAGGATCCTGACTAATAGAAAATTGTATATAAAAAAGTAATTTAATCTGACTGACTTTTATGATGACTTTTCACACAGAACAGGGAAAAATTACTTCCCACATTAGCAATTCACAGCAGAGACTTTATTTTTCATATATGTTTGTCTGACATCACAGCAGTTGAAACATAGACATGAATTTTACTTCGTTGTCCTGCATAAATAATTACTTCGTCTCACATGAATTGTGACATTATCATGTGTCCAAAGACTCACAAATTCTGTAGCTCATATGTATATATTAAATACTGAAATCATGAAAACTCATGATGTATCAAACACAAATAAATAAAATATTTCTAGAAAATTATTATTTAATTCATTGACTTTTTAATGTCACTTTCAAGGTCAACAAACTTCAAACTGAAACAACTATACCAACCTTGGCCTTTAAAGCTTCCACAGTGCCTTTCACATTGTTCTTCTGATTCAAATCTGTTGGCATTTCCACCACAACCACCATATATAAATGCCTGGCATGCACCAGCATCGCTGTCATAATACCATGCAGCATGTTCCTCTTGACATGGTCCTCTGTCCACAAGTGTGCTGCAGATATCCATGCCAAATGGTGCATGTGTTGTAAGAATAAGTGTGTCTGGGATAAGGGCTGCAGCAGTGCTGCCTGTGATAACTTTACAAAACTCTTCACACTGCTGGCGGTCATTGAAGCGATTTGCATTGCCTTGGCAACCTCCATAATCAAACTCATAACAGGTATCTGCACTGCGATCATAATACCATTGGACGATGCTGCCACTACAAGGTCCCACCACTCGAGGCAGATCACAGGCATCTATGAAAATATTAGCTCCAATTAAAAATTTGCAGCCAGATTATACTTACTACTGTTTTAGTTCAGAAACCTGAAATTTGATTTTACTTTGTTCTTATTTAACATGCTGAAATATAATTTCTAATTGTCATGATGATTGACAAGTCACTTAACCATACAGATATCAGCTATTGACATCTAACAAGACATTCATTTTCTTCAAGCTTTCTAGTTTGATAACGTTCAAATAAGCAGTTTGCTGTACTGCACTGTCAATCTCTAGAATAAGAACCACAGAAACAGGACAGCAACTGTCTGCTATAAATCTTTAAAGCTTAGATTAGTGTTATGATAACACCTCACCTTGTACAGTACCACATCTTTCTTCACATTCCTCCCTTGCTGAAAATTTGTTCTTGTTGCCCTGACATCCTCCATAAAGGAACTGCTTACACACTCCATCACGACTGTCATAGAACCATTTGGCTATTGAATCCGAACAGGGCCCATGATCGTCATGGAGGAAACACCATTCTAAAATTTAATGAACGACAATCAACTCAAATACTTATCAGACAAATTTGATCAGGAATTATATTTCTGACAGCCATTCAGTTTTGAGGTGGGACATAATACATTCATACTATTACCAACCTGTATGCATAGCCTTCTTCTAGGCACTCCTGCAAATTCTAACAATCATTTTTTTGCTTCTGAAATACATGTACAACAACCCACAAATTTAATTACAATTTTACATGTAATTTTCCATGAAGGAAAACATTGTGCACAGATAAGCAGGAAAAGGACAACACACACAGGCAAATAAACTAGAGTGCTTGAAAAAGTTGTTCGTAAAATTTTTGTTCTCAGCCTAAGACACTCAGTAATGTTTAGGGATTCTGTTGGATTCCTAACCCACATTTTGACAATCTAATGGGCTGAAATGTGTGTATGAAGTTTCCTAGATCAAGTAAGTATTTAAAAATAACTTTTCTAGATATTGGAGACTAGCAGATAAACATAAAGAAATTAATTATAGGGATCTGTGAGACAATGCCACTCGACTGACCTCAGAACTCTTGTCAATAAAGACATACACTGGAGTGTGCTAATAATTTATTGGACTGCATGGGTCAGAGAGGGTTCAAATATAGTGACATCACAGCAACCAAGAAAATTGTTGCTGCTGTGAGGATGAGTCTAAATTCTTCGCAGAAACATGTGACCATTACAAATTATTTCTCAAAATAAATTTTAGTTGTGTAAAAAATATAAAGTAATTTGTAACATTTTGTGATGCACCAAACAAAATATTTTGGATTATCCATGTTTTCTGATTATTCACACATCTTCTCAACTTTATTAGCTCAGATAATCAGGAGTTTACTGTAACATGAAATACATTTTCACTAAAAAGCTGGTAACCATTTTTATTTGGGTATCGTAGTTGGGCCATAAAATATTATTGTTGAACTTTGCTCATGTCCACTGCTCAATATGCAGTGAGTCTTGGGTTCTAGCTAACTGCACTTGTTAACAATTCTGACAGAATGAGTAACTAACTAATTAACTAATTCAATGGAGTAGATTCCTTCTTAAGAAGCTGATAGTTTGCTCAAATAGTTACAAAGTTCTATGTCCCTTTATGTAAACTGAAGGTGCATTACAACATTCACAAGAACCTACTGCCAGACCCTAGTCTGAAATAATGCCAAACCACACCCTCTAACACTATTTCCCTAAGATTATTGTGCAAGTGGCCTCTTCCTTTCAAGTTTTTCAACCAGAATTTCATATGCATTTCTCTGTATGTGCTACATACCATGTTGAATGAGTTTCTTTTCACCATGGCATGGTGCATTGTCAGGTCATGGATGAGGGAGGACTCTAGTTATAAAGAGTATCTGTGAATGTAAATAGAACAAACAGGCGTAAACAACAGACAAGGGATGGTCCTCCAGTTTGGTGGTTGAGTGTGGGGCTAACAACTACCAACCATAAGAAACCAGGATGTTCCAAAATGTTACACAGGGTCTTGGACTTATTAACTGTCTTACCTGTTCTAAACTCTTCTTCAGGTTCTGGCGTGTTGTAACCACTTTCACAGCGTCGCTGACAGTCCTGCCTTGTAAGGAAATTATTTTGGTTACCATCACATCCTCCATAGTAAAATGGTGTACACCGTACATGATATGAATCATAGTACCATCGCTCTGTATAGTTGTGACACTCCCCAGATGCAGCAGGCAGTAAACATAAATCTTGTTCTGCAAGAGTTATGAAAACAGATTACAAGGTTTTGATTAATTTATGGGCTATATAAAGTAATGGTCAATTACTAGAAGACTTCTATACATCATATTTAATTGCATAATTTCTCCACATTTTTACACAGCTCCTTTTGAGTGAAATAAGGGTGGGTCAATTATGTGCTTTTCCCTGTATAATATGAAAGAGATCATATAAGAAAATCTAGTAATAATATAATTTCAAAATATTTACTGGCATTTTGTCCCTGTATTAACTGGAATATAAGACTGCTGTGTATTTTGTTTTATCAGCAATGTGTTCCTGTTCTGTATCTTGGCTTGAAGGCATTATACTGGTGGCACAATGTCCCCTACAGATTTTTCCTTTAAGTAATACTGACACAGCCTTGTAACACATTGATAATGAATGAGTTTCCATAATTTCCATTAAGAAAGGGATAGAGATGAAGAACAATTTGTGCTGAAGGCTGCAGCAACTAGAATTAATAAGAGTATGCAATGATAAAGTTAAGCATGAGATTGGTAAGTAAAGTAAAGTAAAGTTTGTCCCACTATACGCCATGTAGGCGTTTGGGGTGAGTGGAGGTATAGCTCCTCTCTTCCTTGACCCCAGCACTAGATGGGGGTGAGTGGTCAGCATCACGCCCCGGCCGGCTTTACCCCCGGGAAAGGACCCCGGTACCCATTGTAGAGGAGGCTGGGTGGGCCCCAGAGCCAGTCTGGACGCAGAGGCTAGAGGAAAAATCCTCTGCCCCCGTCGGGGATCGAACCCCGGTTGTCCAGCCCGTAGCCAGTCACTATACTGACTGAGTTAAAACATGAGATTGGTACTGAAGATAATTTAAGCGTATTATTTCAAGACGCAATAAACGGATGTTCTTGGAAATACCTGTAAATCTAATAAAATGGGAAGGAAGACTGAAGAGTAAATAATAAAAAAAATAAGTAAATTAAATCAGTAACTGTAATAGCTATGAAAATTTTGAATTCAAAGTAAAGCCAAAGCTAAGTTTATGTGGAATCTGATACATCTGTAAGTCCACTGTATGGAGGAGTGAAAATAGATGACAGAATAAGAACAATAAATAATTATGTCAAAGTAAAAAAGAGGTAATTATGTGGTGAACAATAAAACATTCTATTCCTTCTCACAATTCAGGTGGTGAGGAAATTATGCAATGGTGACAATTACATGAGAAAATACAGAATGCGACCAACTTTTCAGTCACAAATGTGTATCTTCCTATGGTTATAAACAAAATAATATGCCACATAACAAAAGATTGCTTGAAAATATGTTAGATTAAAAAGAATCCACCATAATAGCAAAAACTGTCAAAAGTACACCACATGCATAAATCCTGTGAGGCATTTCCTTGTATTAAATGCAGTCCTAGAAATTGTTACATTTGAAAAAGCCACTAAAGTTAACTGTAACTTCAAACATACAAATCAAGCTGTACTACTTTTACAGACAAACAACTAAATCATACACATTTATCCACCTCTGTTTTGAATTCCCAGAAGAATAAATATCAAAGCATATAAGCATGCATATATATGCTACAATTTATTTTCATTTATAATAAACTCCTGAAAGAGGAACTTTCTTTTGAATTAAATCAGTAATGTATATCATCCTAATTGTTAATTTTGTTGCATGAATCACAGGCTGATCGATGCAGTCCATGCAAATTATGAAGTATACTAGGCTGTTATGAGCAGAAATTTTGGTATTATCAGAATATTTTAAAATATGACACCCACTCAGGTATTTTATCAATGGCAAAACTAACTTGTTCAATTGCAAAGCAGGAGTTGTGAAGAGTTTGCCAATTGATTATATACATCACACTTCATCTAACATCATACACAATCACATTCAAACTAATATAACAAAATAGTAAGAAATTGTTTTTGAAAATGTAAGTTGGGCCAATACAGTTAACATGACTGTTCTGCTCCTGTATTTAATATGAATTATTTTGTGTTATGCAGGTACAAGAGTTCAGTTTTAATATAATAACACCCTGACATGATGTAGATGCATTTCTGAAACTTTGTTTACATGTTTAAACCTTAATTGGTGTTCTATAAATGCAAATAAAAATTTTATGTCAACACAATATACAGCACTCAAAAATCTATATTACCTTCCAGTTTTACTATTTACTTATTTATTGTTTCACATAACTGTATGAGTTCATTATTCTTTGCCACCGTTAAGTAAATATTACAGGCACAGAAGCAGAATGTTTTCCAGTTTGTCAAAACATAAATGGGATAATATTCTGCCCCACTTCAAACACTGACATTAAGGACAGAGCAGCAACACCTGACAAAACTCACCCACTTTGGAAGGGCAATCAGCTTCACATGCCTTCTGAGTCTCAAACCTATTAGAATTTCCTTCACACCCACTGTAATAGAATGGCATGCACTTGTTTTCCGAAGCATTGAAGAACCATCGAGGCAGACGTTCTGTACAATTTCCCTGATCCGATGGTAATGCACAATAATCTGCCAGTAAGCAACAGAACAATCAACCATCCATAACCACATTAATTAAGGGACATGCAGTAAATTAATAACACCAAAGGTCAAGCAGAGGGATGATAATTATAATATAGGAATGTCCATATGGAAAGATGCCTGTTTCAGCTATGACCTAGAACATATCTGAAATTCAAAGATGGTTGTCTTTGGGTTGTAGCGCCGTGTAGTGTGGTAGAAGTTTACCAATGTTTCAGAGGTCCTTGATTGCCCTGGTGATGGACTCCGAAACATTGCTAAACTTCTACTAGACTACATGGTGCTACAACCCAGATGAACAGCCATCTTCAAACTCACCGATGTGAAAACCTAAAATGCTATCTCTATTTGAAATTCAAAAATTAACTATATGTTTCCCACTCTGAAGAATGTGAATGGCAGTACTGTTAGAATGGAGATGTTTACACCATTTTCTGAATGTGTAACATTTCACAGTTTTGAGGGCTAGTACCGCCTGCATTAGCTGGCAAGTGACCTCAGTTACAAATTAAGATTTAATTGAAGATTGCAGTCTTCTGGGTTGTTGCACCATGTAGTCTGGTAGATTTCAGGTGGAAATCTACCAGGTTACATGGCAGAATAACCCAGAAGACTGCAATCTTCAGACTCACCACTGTGAAAACCTCAAATCCTACATAAGATTTAATTGTTTTTACCCTTCAACTGCTACATTTAAAAAGTAAAGAACAACTTTTCTAGAACATACAGTGTTCTTTAAAAGCTGAAATTAAGCTTTGGTAATGAAACACACATTCATGGGGAACTCTGAATCAAGTGTGTTGGTTATTTGGATACTAATATGTGATGCTCCTTTCATATAATCCAACTTTTTATAAATGTGTACTGTATCCTGTTAAGACTCCATACATATATATATATCCCCCCCCCACACACACAGCAGATGCAACTTGAGTCTGATACCAATACAGTACATTCAGTATTTATAGTCATCGCCCAAAGTACTTTAATAGTTGTTATTTTATCTGAATGAGATCTTTTTATTTTAGAAGGATTATGGCTCTTAGATAGGTAAGGAATAATTTCAAACTTTGTAACTCTTAAAAAAACAGTTACATTAATACAAAACATGCTCCCATAACATGCACATGAAAAGTAAAATAAACTGACACATAATTAAAGTCCACAAGGTTTATCAACAACGTGTAAAGCTCATTGGTCCTATTTATGTTAATGTCCCAAACTAGAATCAAACATGTCCATTCAGTGTTGGAACTGTTTTCATCACCTCATGCTGTACAAGTTACATATGGAACACATGCTCACTGAACATAAAACACTGAGGAGTTGCTTATAATACACAAACATTATTAAATTCAACAACTGAACAGAATAAATTTCACAATTTCAATATTACATTTCAAAATACCTATATACATACATACACACACACACACACACACACATTCTGTGTACTTAAATTTGACATTTAAAATTAGACCACACTGTATTAATCAGAAATAGAAATGGTCACCTGCTAGACTTCTAAGGTGTTCTGCATGATATTAAGCACATGTTTACAAACAATGTTCTCTTCAGTTCACAGACACATAAATAAGCAACACAAAGAAAATGAATGTAAATGTATAGTGTTGAACATAAGAAGACCTCAACCAATAAATTCAACATCCATCACCAATTAAAGTGATTAGAATATGTGAGTGTCAACCCATAAAGCACTGGGTCACCAACCTGATTGCAGAAACACAGCATGACATCACTGAAGATAAGAAATAACACACTTCAACTTAATACCAACTACTAGAATGTGTAGGAAAGTGCCTGGTATATACATATAAATTGCTTTATAAAAGATTAGTGCTTAGGAAACATGACACATGAATAGACCCAAACTGCAAACCATTTGCTACTAGGATTTATATACAACAGAAGAATAATCATGATGAAGAAACCTATAAACAACAGTACTCTGAACAACTTCAGATATGTACAGCAAACTAGTTAAATTTGAAGCATGTGATTAACAGAACTGTGCATAATGAAGTACAAAATGGAATAATTATTAGAGGCTGTACTTCATATTGTTTCTCTCTTCTCTATGTTTGTCATCTGGACTTTTTGCAACATCTGGCTTGTGATAAACACCTTGGGAGGCAAATTGACAAATAACACAATAAGATAGTATGGACATGTCTTGAGAATGAATGATGAAAAAATCACAAAGGTAAAGGTTCTGAATATAAAACAAAAAGGAAAATGCCTAACAGCGTCACCAAGAACAAGATGTTAATAACAGTTTAGGACCCATGTCACAATGAAGGAAGACAGAACATGGGAAGAAAGTAGGGAAGAGAAGGTATGTGAGGGTAGAGATAGATAGCGAGGCTTAGTTGGCATATGACACACATAAAGTGGAAATATCTTAGAAGAGAAAAGATGACAATATATCTTAGATTTACCAAAATAAGTGTTTAAAAGATATTTTCATATCCAATTGATCCTGTAATATATGTACCATTTAGGGTAAACTGTCATGTTAGGCAAAAATAAAGTAATAATTGTTTTGAATTATTTTTTCATATACTGGTTTATAACAGCAATCTTGATAGTACCTCAAAAAAATACATCAGAATCCTTGCATCATAAATTGAATATTTCAAGCACAAATTGTTTTGTTTTCCGTACCTTATGAATAAAGATTGTCTACGCAAACAACTAAATTGGTTTTAACAAGTAATTTATGCTGTTAGCAGAAACTATTATAATAAAAAGCCTAATCACTTTTTAGGAGCATACCTATTTAATGCTATGCTCACTTTGTTACAAAAATGTCTGAGCACATACTGAAACCAATTACTTAATTAATTTACACTTTTACTGTTGTCTCAACCATTCAAGATCATGGTAATAAATTGCACAATAAAACTATTCTTCGCCCACCTAAAATGCCTACTTCTTAAGTTACAAAATGCAACACAGGTTTCTGTTGTGATAATTTCAAAAGAAAGTGGTTTCAATAATAATATACATAATTTTATGTTAGCCAATAACGTGTTTGCCATGGAGACTGAATGCTTCACTACATGATTTGTGGTTACATTACAGTCACTCTAGTATTCTATGGACAACATATACACATATTTATTTTTTAAATGTCACAGTAATTATAGGAGGCTATGAATAGAATGAAGAGAGTACTTTGACTGATTGTATGAATGATGACATTTGCTGTGAAAAAAAACCAGATATAGTTTCTTCCATATTATTATAACAGAATTTGTTCAAAATGCTGACACAAATCATGAAACCTTCTAATTCTGAACTTATATTAGGCTGCATACATAATACTACACAATTTAGAACCTCAGTGGTTCATGTGATGTTAAAGTGTACAGCGTATGGCTATACATGAGCTTCTGTTAGGCATAAAAGAACATAGATATTATGAAGATTCATTAGGTTTACAGATAGAATTATGGGTATTTAGTCATTGATTCTTAGGATTTCTAATGACGCTATATGAAGTAAAAGGATACATAATGCTGAATTTCACAGTGAGATGACCATGAATGATGAGCAGATTTGGGTTTGGAAGGTGGTCATGACTTATTTGAAAGTACTATCTTGACATTTATCTGGACAGAGGAAAGAAACACGTACCTTGGGATAGTCAGAAAACACAGCTAACATTTAAACTGAGTATCTTCCAAATATAAGTGGCCAGACTAATGGCCACATATATTGTGCAAATGTTACTGTGTGTGACAATGTAAGGAACAAAGATAAAACAGTTTTTACTTGGCATTTTCATAAGATTCCATACAGCCACCTAATAATTATAAACACCATTTCATGCACAGTTCCTGGGTGTGTGTAGAGATTCACATATTTGTACAAAACAATTTCCAAGTTCTACAGAGGCTTTGGCACCAATAGAAGATAGAACCCATTGAAAAACAGAAGACTTTGACACAATGAATACCTCTGAAACTTGCATGACTTGAAATGTGGCACTTGTTTCTGCACTCCATCTCAGTTTTGAACCTGTTCCCATTGCCTTGACAACCCCCATACATGAACTGTTTGCAAATTTTCTCTGTGGCATCATAGTACCAGCGAAGAATAGCACCTGGGCAAGGACCCATGTCCTTAGGAAGAGCACAATTATCCATTACTGCTGAAACAAAGTATGTTGTGAAGAGGAAAACAAAAAATGGCGCACTGCTGACAGTTCTTTCCCTCATGAGATCTTGTTACAAATCCTATCAACTTCAAAAAGAAGATAGTTATTGATTTTCATATTTGTATAACTGCAGTATTAGGAACCCGCCAAAATAAATGTTGATGATGAAGATCATGATAACAATAGCAACAACAGCAGTAACAACAACGATAATAATAACAACAATAAGAACAGGAGCAGCATCTATATCACCACTACCATTCCATCACTGCAATGACACTGATGCTACATCAAAAGGGCACATTATTTTATTACAAGCAATATCTGAGAATTACTCGAAGAAAAATTATCGGTATTATTATAATATTGCTGTTATTATATTATTATGATAATAGTAAGTGCATTATTATATTATATTAGTGACAAGAGAAAAATAATACTGCCACCATATAATCCAATGCACATATTTCATATATGAGGTTCAAATTTACATTGCTTATTTATTCTCATAGGAAAAATCACTTTATGAAAATTCTCTAATGAGGATGCCTGTAACTGAATAAAAATTTCATTTGTTCAAAGACAAATGATTTTCCTGATCCATCTTCTTTCTAGGTTATAACCAAACTCATTCAAGTAGGAGACTTTAAAAAAGGGAGAATTCAGTCTGTCTAAGGTTTCTAAAACTGTTATAGAGCATAGATGTGAAATAATAATTATTTTAACTAAATAATGTAAAAACATTTTGAATGTTTATAATTAACTAAGTTAAACAATGTAAAAACTGCTGAATATTAATTTTAAATGCAATAATGTAATTACAATTGATGCTTTATGTATTTGGTATTTTATGAGAAAATCATAATTTTGCATAACACAAATACACAATTTATAAGAATAATTGCATTTTCTGTATGAAAAAAGAAAACACATACCTACAGCACAACTTTAGAAATATATATCAACAAATATTAACAGGACAAATTAAAATATAATACGTCTGTAATATGGTATTTAACCTATTTGTGTTCCTTCTTAATAATTTTATGGTTTGAAAATTTCAAAATATATGTAGTTATGAGCTGCAGCTACCTGAAAATACATAGTTATTTCTCCAAGTTCATATAGACACATTCCTAAACAGTTTTGAGCTAATTTTTAGAGAGATGGATGAATTTCCAGTTGATAAACAATTAAAGACATTTATTCATGTGAAGATACTGGGTCTATTACTCTTGTCAGCACCGCATCATCTGCGCATTGCATGTTACTGACCTAACAACCATGTTAAAGCTACAACAAAAACAATTTAAATTAAACAGTGGTACATAATATTCAATAATTTTGAATCAAAAACATGTAAGTCACAGCATGTAAATGGAGAAATAAATGTACTACAAAAGCAATGAGATATTTTTAAAGTGAAAACAAATACTGTTTAAAATTTCAATATAGGATATAAAATATGAATATTAATAAACTGAATATGATCAGCATATGATTTTGAAAACAGATATAATTTCAAGCCCAATTCACTAACAGACTTATCATATAAGTTACTGAGCATTTTAACATTTACCTCGACTTCTACCAGGCTGCAAGCATTGCTGTTGACACTCTGATTCTGTGAGGAAGTTATTTCTGTTACCATGGCAGCCACCATAATGAAACTCCTGGCACATGCGCAAATCTTGGTCATAATACCACCGAGAGAAGTTGCCTCGGCAGGGTCCTTCAGCCTTGAGTTGTTCACATACATCTGGGATATATAAAATAGTTCACTGATTTTTCAGTTAAATCTTATGTATAAATTTTCTTGAACAAAAATATTTACCATGCAGAAGAACTAACTTTCAACATTTTCTGTCTTTTCCAGAAAATTCTGTTTTTAAAAAATAAATAATTATACACATGAAAATGATATAAAACTCAAAGGAAAAATATATGTATACAAACTTATTTTTGCACAATACAATGCATAATATTGAGCTAAAAAAGTAAATTATGACACACAAACGTCACCTGAAATTTTAGAACTAAGACACAGAGAATGTGTCATTAAGAATTCACTTTGAAGAAAAAGTTAGTTGTCTATACTAAAAATGTTATATTTTTATGGTGAAAAAAAGATATTATGGCAGACTCAATTCCACTGGCTGAAAAAATGCTGCTTCAGAGTGTATACTATATGTAGTAGCTTACCATTACCTAATAATAAATGAAATTTTACTATCCAAATTTCCATCACCAACTTCATACCTTGATGTGATGCTTTGGTTCCTTTAATGGTTGTTGAATCTAGAATTTTCATACATAAAGTATTGCTGGTTCCATAAACATTCTAAATTTGATTCCTGAATTAGATGAGTACTGCTATGTCAAACCTTCCCATGTGGCTTCCCAGCCCTCATTTATCTAATGGTACCCTTAATTTGTCAGTAAAAGTTACATTATGGGTTTATTTTCTGCAAATAAAGAACTAACTATATGGGCTGATTTATCTTGGTAATCCTGGAAGAAGAATCTTTATTTAATCAAGCTTTCCTTGGAACTGGCTTTTTCCAGATAAAGATAATGATTTTTTTTATTTTGTGTGACTTCCTTTGACATAAATCATTTTCCCACAAGAGGTTCCCTGTACTAATGAATACTATTAAGGAGCGCTGAAGTGTCTGACAGCAAATAACTTAGATTCCAGTGGCAGAGCTTGAAATAACATTTTGTGTGAAGATATGCAGCAAATTCAGCAACTGCACGGAACAGTCATTTTTTCAAATCAGGAAAATTAAATTCTGTAATGATGACCATATATCCCAATTATTAATGTATGGATCTTCAATGAATAATATTCTTATAATAATATTACTATTGATGATTATACTGTAGTGAAACCTACCAAGTGTGTCTGGAATTACACACAGATCTTGACATTCTTCTCTGGTATCAAACCTATTGTTGTTGCCCAGACATCCACCATAGATGAACTGTCCACACTGTTTCCTGTCTATGTCATAGTACCAATAAGGATAATATCCCTCACATGGGCCCTCAATCTTTGGTAGAAAACATGCATCTAGAATTATAATGAAAAATTAAATTAATATTGTGGGCACAAATAATACAGAGAGTTCTGGTAGCATAAGGTTCAATTAATTTTTATTCACTCAAGGTTCCATGTCCATAAAGTGACAACTGCAGTGCAATTCAGTTATTTAGATTTAAATCAATGAAATGTTATGCAAGTAATTTCTAGAGTTAAGGCCAAGCAAACAATATTTAGTCTAATTAATAGTTATCAGTAGAATGCATTGAATACAGAAAACAAAATAAATGTGACAGCATGTAAAAACCAAAAACCCATCAACGGCTATCATACAATGGTTATTTATCATCCCAACATGAATTTTAAATCTGCAGTTTCATTGTATATCTTTGGATTACAAAAATGCACATTAAAGTGAAATATTAAAAACTGTATAAGATACTATTACAATATTATTCTGTTTTAAGAATTTACAATTTGGAAGAAGGGTATGAGACTTACCTCTACCTGGTGGCTCCACACATTTTGCTTTGCATTCTTCCTGATTTGAAAACCTGTTGTCATTACCTTCACAACCTCCATACCAGAAACGAGAGCAACCTCCATATTCCATGTCAAAGAACCATTTCACTTTGAAATCCCGACAAGAGCCTCGATCTTTATCTTGTTTGCAGAACTCTGAGGATTACAAAATGTAACACTTCTACAGACAACTGTATTATATGAACATAACCATTGGTGGAATACTTTATAAAGAGGATGGACAATATTTATTTTGTTTACAAAGTTATATAAAGGAATTTTAAGATAAATTGTGCTTGATTCAAGTGTATTCAGTTGTGTATTGAACTTTTTTGTGATTGAGATCTGCATAATAGAGTTGAAATAGTAAATGTAACACTCCCATATGTCAAATAAACTGATAAGTAAATATTTGATGTAACTGATGTTACACTGCTTTCCATGTTCTTTGTTGTGGAAAGTAAATGTTATAATTTTTTATTAAAGTAAATATGAATAAATAGACATGACTCTAACATTGGTTTCTGAAAGCCAGTTTGCTCTTAACAGGAGCATTATTTTTCAGAAATTACGTAAGAAAGATCTTGTTTTTGCTTGGAAGAATACATGTATACTGTGCCCAAATACAAAATTTTCTAGTTGGAAATATTAACTTCATTGAAATAATTTAAAATCCAAATTAATGTTATTCCTTTATTAACCACCAAAAAGGTTCAATTTATATGGCTATAGCCTAATTATCTTAGGGTTTAAAATCTATACTTCAGCTTTTACTCAGTTTAGCATTAAGTACAATATCTTCAAAGAACCTCTTCATGTACTGTGAATGCATCATAACTTTAGATAACATTACATTGTTACATTATCCACTTCCCATGTGGTAGCACTGCCAGAATTCAGTTTCAAAAATACAGAATACAACTCATTTTTTATATAATAATAATCCGTGGCGTAACAGCCCTCTGAGAGCCAAAGCCGACTAGCTGGCTGCTGGCCTCACATTCACATGCCTAAGCAGAGGTGAACGATCATCCAACCAGATATAGAGTGACGTGTGGTCAGCACGATGACCCCCCAGCCATTGCTAGTTTCCATGACCGGATTACGCTACCCATTGTAGCTCCCCAATTTCCTCACGATGCTGGGTTGGCACCGGTTCCATACACTGGTCGAAAGCTCATGAGGAATATCTTTCCTTGAGACTCAAACCAGTGTGCATTCCGTATCACTGGTCCCAAGCATTATGTCTCAGACCGCGCAGCTACAGCACGGGACCATTTTTTATATAGTATGACAAAAATTATGTGGCTACAAAACTTAAATTATGTATACACAAAATGTTGAAGTAAGGTTATCCTTCTGCTTAGCATCAGTCCATGATGACATGATGAGAACATGTAGATAAAATCCTCCACATTCTCAAAACATACAGGAAGAAGGTGAGTGCTTCATGCTCTTTCCACTATTATGCCTTAGGGAAGTGTCTACATCAAGCAGTATATTTTTTAAACTACTAATATCATAGTACTCATACTTTTTTCCAGTTTGAGATGCAGGGAAGTTATGATCAATAACTATTCTGCTTAATAAAAATTCACTCCAATGACAACCAATAACATTATTTATATAATTAGTTTTGTCTGAAATGTTAACAACGTTCTGTATGATATTACAAAGAATAAGATTACAGGAAAATTATAAGTATTGGTTGCATTACCACATTTCAATAAACATAACTTACTCCCAGGTGTGACTGGTACTTCGTTACATCCTTCAAATTTCTCTCCTTGAGCTTCAGTTTCTCCATCTGGACAGCAACTAAATTTTGAAGCCTCACACCCACACCCTTCCTTATTTGGACCTTGAGCAGGAGTCCTGTTATCCAAGCAGCAACCAAACTCTGTGTTTTCACAGCCACATCCTGTTAAAACATTTTTAGTATACTTAGTAAAAAAGAAAAGACAAGAGGCGTAAATGCTTGGAGTACGTATAGGTGTTCTACAAAAATGTTGCCTTACTGCCCAGTAAGGTTTCATTTTATTAAAATTAACTGTCCACGCTACATTTACCTGAATATAAGACAACCATAATAAAATGGCCCCCTTCCCAAAACACAAAATAAAGAAAGGACAATGTTTTTTCCAGCTTTAAAACTGAGTTTGACTTTCCCAGCAAGCCACTATTAAGATAGTTCTGAAATAACATAAAATGTTTAATTGCCCACACCTGTCTGAAAATACATTTTTAATCATTTTCATATGAGATAACATTTATCTTCTGTCAAACAGAATAGGGGACTTCAACACTCACACTACTAATTTACCATCTGGACTTTGACTCTGGTATTAAAGACTTACTGGTATGCTATTGCAATGAATGACCACCTGGAACATAAACAAGCTGCAACACAATCAATAAAATTAAATATAATTCTGAAATCACATACACAGTTAATTACATACATTGATCTAACAATTCATATATTCAAAATGCCTTTAAAGTCACTTTGACTGAAAGATTCTTCAGCTTTGTCATAATCATTCCATATGATCTAATCCTCATTCTTGGTGAGTTCACTTCTTGCCTTGGTCATCTTCATATTGACACTTCTCTCAACACCTTCATTCAGATGGTTTCTCATGTAATACCAGGTCTCTTTATGTACGCCTATCTGACAAACTTCAGAACAGTTTCTTCCAATTATTTTTGTGTCACATGAATTTAGGGACATAAAATATTTTACTTGTAGAACTACATGATCTCCTCCTTTCCTTCATCCATTGTCTTAGTTTGCTTCCGTTATGCTCAAATGATGTACTACATCTGAGCTGTTACTATGATCAGAAAATGTCAACACCATTAAGTTACAATTGGAGTCATAGCTACAACAAACTTCTTTAAAATCTCATGCCACCATACAGCTTGATTAATGTATTTCAAGAAAACTACATTCTTCTAATAGTACCAAAGAATGTCTGATCACCTTATCCTACACGAAAATAAATGGAAATTAATCTGTACAGATGACCCTCCTGTTGCAGCATGGAAGGCACATTATGCTCTTTATGCTCACATTATGCTGTCATACATTTAGCACACATGATACAGGAGCACTACCTGTACTAAAAATATCTGTTGCTTTGTATTACAGATGACAAACTTTCAATCCACTGAAATATTTTGCTCTATTTGCAACACTATGATAATCCCTAATATTCAGGGGCTAAAACAGAAAACTGTCCTCTCTCATATTCAGGTAAACACAATAATATAAATTTCTTTTCCAATTTAGTTCTGTAACATTTTTCAAAATATTAACTGAAGAATATTTTGTGGTTTATTTCACAAAGAATGTAACTATACAATTTATTTCAGAAAGGTTACAGATCTTCAAACTCTTTCACAAAAATTTGGACATACCTTGATTGTAAGGTCCTTTAGCAATATTCATCCCATCAGGGCAACAACCAAACTGATAGGTGTAGCATGGACAGCCTTGGAATTCAGGCCCAGCTGCAGGAGTGTAACGGTTTGGACAACAACCGTATTTTGTGTACTGGCATCCACAGCCTTCTGCATCTGGACCACGAGCAGCTGTTGCATTGTCTGGACAACAGCCGTAAGCACTGTATTGGCAGCCACAACCTGTAAGAGTATCAGTCTTTTAATTTCTAAAATTACTATGACTCTTAAGAAGAATTACTGCCACTGTATAAGACTTTATCTAAATTCTCTCAGTCTGGTAAAATGTTAATGAAATTTCACATTAAACATAACTACATGATGGTAAGATCTTCTAAACAGTTTTCAATAAATCATGAATATACAACAAATTTTCAAATAACAGCTCAGGGTACTATTTGAAATTTCTGTGCTTATGCCCAGTTGCAATCTAATTCAGAATTTAATCAGATATTTTCAGTAATATATCTCCTCATAATTTCCCATGTTTATTAATGCATTTGTGCATACATTCATTTTCCGTCTTCATCTACACAAACCCAGCCCAGAATTTCCATAATTCTACCCATTCACTGTGTTCTAATGAATATATTGTTGAAGAACAAATAAAAACGTATTTTTCATAGTACTTTTAAGAAGAAAGTATTTTGAACTTTCCAATATGTGTATCCTAAAAAGTTCTATATTTACTGATTAATTTCTCAGAGAAGAAATGACTAAGAATATAAATGCTTCCTTTTGAAATTACAGACTTCAAAATGATTCTACAAAGAATTTCAGAAGACCTTGCCTATTTACTTGTTGAAATGGAACGTTATAAAAATGTTAAAAAATTAAAATATTATTCTATAATATCTGCAATAGTCTGAAATACTTTTTAATTAATTTTTACTTATCTAAAAGTTAGCACCCTTTCATTTAAAAACTAACCTAAATTCAAAGTGCTGATTTCTTTTTGTGACCATTCTTTCTCTTTAATCCAAATTCAGAGGAGTCAAAAAGTTAAAGTTAGTACAACACCTAAACTGTATAAATCTCTAAACAAGAGGACAAACTTTTATTCAAGCTCTTGGTTTCTGGCATCAAAGTATTTCACTAAACTGGAATAATATAAATGGTTACCTTCCAAATTAGGTCCTTGTGCAGGGAGAATATTATCAGGACAGCAACCATATCTGGTAGTAAGGCAGCAACCTGCCTGATTAGATCCATGAGCTGGAGTAATTCGATCACTACAGCAACCAAATTTCTCATCCTCACATGGCATGCGACACCCTTCATATCGTGGACCCAGAGCTAATAAAACAAACAGTGCAGTGCAGTGCAGTGCAGTGCAGTGCACGTTACGAGCTACACAATGTGTTCTAAGTATGAAAAACTTGCTATTTACTTACAAGATGCAATTGTGATTATATAGATTGTAATCTGCAGATTCAATATGGTACAAAAACAGTATTTCATATAAATCATTCCAAAATATAAATGAAGGTAAACAGGGGAATATCTCTGTGTTGCAGTTACATATACAGTAAACCCTCAATTGAACAGTCTAATACAGGGGAAAGGGGTGTCTGGTATTACCAACTGTCTGTTAAATTTCACAGCTGTTTTAACAAAACCAATGTTGCTGTGATGTAGGGCAGAGACTAAGAACAAATATGTAACTTTTATTATGAATCTGAGGAGCTAATATGCTCCCATTGCCTCCTACTGGTATAAGGTTGTGGTGCTGCTTGTGGTGACAAAAACATGCAATGAGGAGTAAGTCTGAAGAATGTGCATAGCTATGGTTGAGTTCTACACTGGTAGTCTCCTTATAACAATTTCTCTCACAAATACAACAATTGTGCTTTAGATATATGCATGCAGATTGTAATTCCATCCAATTATTGTAATGGCTATGTACCTGGAGAAACCCCATCAGGACAACATCCAAAATATGATGCAGTACAATTTTCAGCATTAATGACATCACATCCTTCAAAATTAGGTCCCACAGCAATTTTTATCCCATCTGGACAGCAACCATGAGTTGACTTCGAGCAATCCACCTCTTCTAGGCCAAGTTCACCAGAACCTGAAACATGTAAACAATACCATTACATGCTACCATTGAGTATGTAAGTAGAAGGTAGAAACTTAATTTCACTTAACAATAACAATGCTAGGTAATGTCTCAAAAGACATTATTTATTTTCAATAAATGTGCATATGTACGTGAGTGCATGTGAACATACACACAATATAGCAATTCATATATCAGAAATGAGGAATATAATAATAAAAATAATGAAAATCATGATAAACTACATACTAAAGAGGGCTGTTTTTGCTGCAGACCTAGAGAACCAAAGTTTCCTTTACAGACAGCACTGAGGCTATCATTATAAAATTATAGCAAATGATAATAGAAGCATATATCTAATCTATGTTAAGTATCACAGTTTCAGAGTTTTGAATTAAATGTAATACATTAGAATGTCAAAACTGTGTATGCAGATACAATGTGTAGGATTCCATTGGAAGATATGTACAATTGATAATTTTTCAAATTGACTATTAATTACAGAGCATTAAAGAGATTATAACTAACCTTCAATCTCCTCACACCCTGAAAACTCTGGGCCTGTTGCTGCTCTCATACCATCTGGACAACAGCCATATTTTGTTGCATTACATGTATCACAGTCACCAGAGCCCTCACACTCAAAACACCCTGTATTGTTGGCTCCTACTGCTGCAGTAATGCCATCTAGGCAGCACCCAAACCTATCATGTTATTAAACAAAGACAAGATGTGGATGTGTAGTGTATAAATTTATTAATGTTTTTTTTTCTTCAGAAAGTGATTTAATTTGTGATCAGATATGGGTGCAGATGTATCTAAAAAAAACCAAACTAACGTAGCTGTAGTAAATTCATTTTCTAGAATATGAAGATAATAGGGTCTCCACTATGGTTTCTCTCCCATCACTTTGCCAGCAAAAATAATATCATTATGGCTCATCCACAGCTCCTTTCCAGAAATCAATTCAACACACTTTTGCAGGAAGGTCAGTAAGACTAAACATAGATATTTGAAATACATTTTCAACGCAAATTTCAGTAATGGAAACAATAATAATTTATTTGTAGTTCTACAAGAAGAAAGATAAGCCATTAAGGGTGCATGATTGGCAAGATGCCAAATATAAAAATTCTGACTGGCTATAATTATTCAAGAATATCACTAAAACCCAAAAATGTCATGAAATCATTGCAATACATTACCTTTCCAGGGTCATGGACAAGAGTAACTTCTATCTATCATCTTAATAGATGATAGATAGAAGTGTTTATGAACTCTCCTTTCAACTTTCCATTCTAAATCAACAAATAAAATATTAATGTGCTCTTACTCAGGGAAGTTGGCCAGTGTTTCTAAGTAATATATCAAGTTCACAGGCATAAAGAATTAGTAACATGTTTCTGAAATTAATAAATTACTGACTCTGTATCCTTGCAGTCTACAGGTAACTCTTCACAGCCCTCATTGTCATTCCCTTCAGCTATGCCAATGCCATCTGGACAGCAGCCAAATAAGGTCTCTTCACAGTGAGATGGGGGACAGCCTTCTTTCTTTTTACCTTTTGCAGGAGATACAGCATCAGGGCAGCAACCAAATTCGGTCTCCTCACAAGTTGCAGGTTGTGGGCAACCTAAGAAAATAAGCACCCACAGTTTTACTCTTATTTGATTTAATGATGCCTAATCGACTGCAAAATTTGTACATCTTCAAATGAGACTCCAAGTTCTGCACTTGTTGAAGTCATTCAGAAGCCATATGATTTAAAGCAATGATCTTCCAATCTCACAGACTCAAGTTCAATTCCTGATCAATGTAATCAGGATTTATGGGTCACCAAAATTTCTCCTGAGATTTTACATAATTTTACCGTCCTGCCTTTGAATTCATCATACCCTCTCATCCTCTCATATTACCACTAATATCAACATTGCAAAAGTATGCAGTCAATCAGGTTCAATACATTCCCAACAAAACATTGGAAATTCCACATCATAGCAATAGTTTATGTTCAATTCTGCACCAGATTAAAAATAAAGCTGCCCTCTACTAGAATAAATCCTTTCATCATACAATACTGCATTCAAAATCTGGCCAAGCCTCAATTCTGACAACTAATTTTGTAAAGATTAGAGAGATTACAAAAGCTAAACTGGTTAGAAGGGTAACTGGATGAGAGGCCAGTCCATTCCAGAAAGTAGGATCATACAACAGGGCCACCAGCTGTTGTAAAATCCATACCTTTTGTACTAAAATTCCACAGATTACCTTTGCTGAATGGACCTTCTGCAAGAGTGCTACCATCAGGACAACAGCCAAACTTAGTGTCTTCACACTTGATAAGTTCTGGTTTAGGCTTCTTCTTCCTTTTGCACTTCTTCATTTTTTGTTCCTTAGTGATTGCCAGTTCAATAGGACTTGGAGTGGTTTCTTCAATCACTTCTGTGAATCATAATATATACAAAACACAAGCAATAAAACAATTCTGACTTGATTATGATTCAAACTTATCACCTACACAAGAACCCAGAATGGCAACCCAAAAGAAAATTTATATTTTATTGCCTGATAATAAACTTATGTTATATAAACATATACCATAACACAAGATTTGCAGGACTGGAAGTATGTACAGTAAGAAAGTAGGCTTTGTGAGTTCTTCTCAGAATTCCTGATTATGTTTTTGACATTGCCAAGTGACAAAAGGCAAAAGGAAAATAGATAAAATTATGGAATAACAAAGAGATAAAAACTGCACAAAGACAAAACCAAATTAAAGTCCTCCATTCAACAACCTTTATGCTTGTTGAAACAACTGTGGCAGAACACTGGGACCTGCTAGCTGCTTTGAGCAGTACATTTTTGGATTACGTGTATCAATTGGAGATACAGAAATTAAACTTAAAAACGTGTATCTTTTTAAGTAATATATTCGTTCAGAACTTCAATAGACAGATGATCTGAAATCTATGACAAATTTACAAGTGCATAAAACAATCTTAAAATAGCTAAAATTGAAGTTCTTAGCTTTGATTTTTATGACCAAATGAGGAAAGGAATATGAGAATTTGTAAAGCCCAGAAGTTGCTGTGCAGTCCATGTCCCTTCTTTCATTACAGCAGCATGATAAAATAAAACTACTATAGAGAGAGTTTTTAAATAATTTAATAACTGTGCTACACAGAAGAAGACCAGGAGCCTTATGTTTGCAATTGTTGATCTGTTCATCATAGTATTTATTTACTGAATAATGACCTACCTCTAGATTCAGATGTAGTTTCTCCTAATACTTCTGAAAGTGTGTACTCCTCTGTAGTTGTTACTTCAGTAGTACTAATTATTGGAGCACCCTCCGTGGTACTCGTGTACCCTTCTGAAATGGTCTCTGAAGTGCTTCTAGTATAACCTTCTTCGGCTGATGATAATGATGTTGGAGTACTAATTGTTTCTTCAGAAATCTCTGATATTGCCCCAAAACTTGATACAGAGACTTCTGTTGTAAACACAGAGCTTTCTATTGCTTTGGTGCTAGATACCATGCTGGAACCTGTTGTGGAAAAGGAACTTTCTGATGTGCTTTCTGTAGGTCCTGACTCAGTGGTTGGCAGCAAGTCTGGACTAACACTTGTATATTTTATGTCGTCTGGACTAACACTCGTATATTTGATGTCGTCTGGACTAACACTCGTATATATGATGTCTTCTGAACTATTCACTTCTATTGCATATGGATCAACCTCTCCACCAATATCAGGATGTGTAAAATCAGTAATTCCCATGCCTGAACCAGTAAGAACACTTGTTATATCAGTATCAATGTCTATTCCAATGGTCAAACCTGAACCTTCATCTCCTGAACCAGTTTCCAGGGTGATGTCTGAAGAAGTGCTAATACTATAAATAGAATTTGATGTTGCTTCAGAGGTGGAATCTGTGGGATCAGTAATTTTGTCTGAACTTGTTAGATCATAAGCACTTGTCTCCAATAAAGCATCTGTACTCTTTGATGCTTCACTGCCAACAGACAGTTCAGATGAACTTTGTATGTCTGTGGGACCTGAGAGCTCTAATGAAGTGGTAGTGGCTGCATCTAGGTTTGGACTAGATGAAAAACTACTGCTACTCGACAAGGCACTTGAATCTGCAGAACTATAGATGCCTGAGCTTGCTGTAACATCAGAGCTATCAGAAGCTGTGAAAACTGAGCTCTCATTCTCTGGAGATACATCAGCTGAATCACCGAGCATAACATCACGAGAGACACTTGCAGCATCAAAACTGGAACCAGTAAACAAAGAGTTTGTTTCTCCAATGGATGATGGGCTAGTGGCAAATGATTCCAAGGCACCAACGCTACTTCCAAACTCTGTGCTGACAGGTGAGAAGTCTCTGCTAGATGTTAGAGGAGTTGCTTCCAATGTTACATGTGATGATGCAGTATCTGAAGTGATGTCAGAGGGCATTACTTCTGATGAAAATACATCCAGTTCGCCTGAACCTTCAAATTCTGTGGCACCAGACACTGGAGTCACACCCTGTCAAGCAACCAAATGAAAACTTCATTTGTGTGTGTGTGTGTGTGTGCGCGCGCGCACGCGTGTGCACACAATTCCCCTCCCCCCACAATTCATTCTGTGCTCATCTCTCTTGGGTACAAATGTGTGTACAGAATACATATTTGTCTAAAGGTTTCTGATGAATATGTGTCATTAAACTTATGCATATTCTTGGACATTGTCATTTGTCTATTAATTTAAACACTTATAAACACAGAACATTTTAGAAGCTGGCTTTGCTTCTGTCATCAAATAATATCACACTTTCTAATTAGCTGGGCCCAATCTCAATCACTGCATCCTGAAACTGAAATGATCTCTTTCCAATGGACTCAACTGATAGTGTTGTATGGTTTCATTTGATGACAAGCTGAATTAGCTTTGAAACACTGTGCCTTTTTGAATTTTTAAATTAACAGATGAAGGAATATATTCAAGAATATGCACTTATAAGATATGGTTTACTAAAAGGAACCCATGTTTCTGAAGGAAAAAGTGTGTTCTTACTAATCTAAAATTTGTACATGGGATATTAATCCTTTAAGGTGCATTTTTGCAACTTTGTTGTGAATGCACCTAAAAATATTAAAGCCTGAGTGCATCCACAAAGCACTCAGGCTTTAATAAAAAACCCAAGATGTGTGTTGGAGTCTTGAATGAGGTTGACATGACTTACAGGACAAAGCAACCAGTTAGGGGGGAGCCCCTCAGGGGTTTAGAATGTGTCAGATTAGGTTATGGCTGGTTTGGTTAGAGTATGTTATGTTTCATTTTGTTACATTAAGTTAGGGGGTGAATAAGAAGGGTTACATTAGGTTAGGTCAGATTAGTTTGGGTGGGGCAAGTGGTGTATGTTATGGGATTGAGCACAAAATTTAAGTGAAGCCCATCTGTGGCCTAAGTTTTGCGAAACTAAGTTAGACTGAGTTAGGGTAATGTATTTTATGTTCCATTATGTATTCCAGCATTCCAATATTCAAGTGACCTGCAGTCCTTGTATATTATCACTACCTACCAGAATTCTCAGAGAATTGTTGGATTGTATGTGTGTGTCATCATTTGACCTCACCTCACTTAGCCTCACTTAACCCAAACTACTATATTCACAACTGAAGTCTGTCAATACAAATTTCAAAAATACAAGATGGCTTGATGGGCACTGATGAAGTTATGTATGGAAGGTATGCCACAGGGAACATATTCAAACTTGTAACTTGCATCTCATTTTATGCAATACCATCAAGCCTTCTAAGTCACAAGGTGGGATGATAATATCATTTTGAGAGTCTTCTCTCTGTAGGTGTTAATGGCCTGGAAATATATATCTTGACAAAACTTATAAATAAATGCTGGGCCATAACCCGTCTTTATTTGGAGGAGTGATATGACATTTAAGAAGCTGAACATGAAAGTTAATTTCAACACTAAACTTCACATAAAACTGTTTTGGGTAAGACACATAAGTGTGGAGATCTAAATAATTTATAAAACATGGAATAATCGACTTACTGATTTATCTAGTTCCAGTGTTGTCTCCATGGTAATGACAGTTCCATCTGTCTCTTCTGCACACTCCTCTTCTTCCTCCTCTTCCACATGTGCTGGCTCCATGGGCATGATCTGATCTGAAGAAATAAATAACTTCTCTAGAGATATACATTCACATAGGTATAGGTAATAATCAACTCCTTTCCTAGTTTAATGTTAAAGTTTGTACAGAAACTTGGTGGCAGCAGTGAACAAATTGCTGCATACAATTTGTATGCAACAATTCATAAAAGTGAATGAAGCTTCTGAGTAAGCCACTGCCATTATACAAAGTAACACTATGACTATCTAATACCTAAAGAGAAACGCTTACCCAAATTCACACAACCTCTCTGAAAATAAGATTGCTTTAATTTGGTAGCAAATAACACAATATGTATTTGCCAGAAACAAGACAGAAAAGAATACATATTTCTTTAATAAGATGAAATTCTTCAATCAGCAGTTGACAGTGTACCTGACAGGCAAGCAATGGAAATGGTACCCTTAAAAATAACAAATTGTTCATTGCAATTAAAGGTAACAACTTTGAATATATGTTGTATTAAAGTACCACTCACCTTCGCTACAAGGGTGATTATTGCAGGTTTCAGAAGAAAAGTGAATTAGACTAGGATCACAGTTGTTGGCATCAACAGTGTTGTTTTCAATGAAGCACAACACTTTCCGGGACATAACTCCTCCCCCACATGGTTTTGAACACTGTTTAACAATGTCACATACTTAACATATTTAATGTTGTACCAATGTGGATTATTACAGACTATCATATGCTTAAAGACAAATAAACATTAAAAAATAATTATAACTTAAAGCAAATGCTATAGAACACTGTTTCATAAAGTCTTAAATATATCCGAACCTCTTGAAAATGCTCTAACTAAGAAATTATATTACATGTATTTTGTATATTTGTGTCTATCTCCAAGTCTATTTCATAGCTCTTCCAGCTACACATTTTCTCATGTGGTTATCAATGTAAATATGAGATAAAACTTCAAAGTTCTGTCTCACATCTTACATCCAAAATAATGATTAGTCCCCCATAACAAAGATGTCACTGCATATAGTCACTGTAAGAACTTCAGGTTGCATATAAAATTTTAGTTGACAATTCAGTCTATAGTGATCAGTTCTGCATATCAAGTCATGTAACATCTTGGGTCATGCTTAATGTTTTGAAAATTCTTTATATTTGTCCATGTTGGTCTTCTGTGTCATAACACCATGTGCACTTGTAGGTACAGCTGAAGATCAAGGCAGTATATTCCTCTGAAATGTTGGTATCTGCGTATGAGTCCACGAGGAATTACATCCTGAACACTAACATTAATATCTTCACTGCCGTGAGCACCTCAGATTACTTAATAAATCCTGACAGTCTTGAGTGCATTATTATCAAAATAAAAACTTCATGAATATAAATTTTAAAAAGTGATACTTTATAGTAGATGATGTGTTATGACTCACTTAGTAATTCAGTAATTACCCAAGCATAAAATGCCAAATATACTTACTGCAGTCCATGGACCGGCGTACCATTGACCTTCACATTCTTCTTTGCCTGTGCAGTTACCTTCTCCTTCATATTTCTTCCTCAAGTCACACTTCTCATCATCCACCTTTTTAATTGTATCTCCATCATACTTGCCACAGAAAACCTTCCTAGTCTTGACACCACTACCACAGTATGCTGAACACTAAACAAGAAACCAAGAACAAACTTATCACAATTGAAACAACAGTAAAATTTCTTTAACACTAAATAGTCAGAAGGAACAGCATTTACCACTTCATTCAAACAAACCACTGCAAATTTTAATTTAAAAATTCACTAACAATTATACTGCCAAGCTGATTAGATTGACTGCAAAAACTATACAAGCTGCCAACTTCAATTATATCCAATTCCCATGTGGTTAGTAACACAATTTATTACACAAATATGAAGAGTTTTGTTATTCATTCTAAACACTATGTACTTATAACATAGTTATATCATGGGGTGGCTGAACAAATTGTTCAGTACCTGGGTGGTAAGGTTGAGGATTAATGTTTTCCAGCAAGGACTTATGCTAGGTCATTAGTCTAGGTTTCATGACTAATGTACAAACTTTGTGTATTATTCTCAAATCATCAACTACAACAAATAATATTCCAGACCTTGGTGAATATTTTATACCTGTTTTACTGCAGTGATTGTCAACTGATCATTCTAGATTTATAAATGTAACTTCCTACCTAAGTTCAGAGGTTATAGTATCTACTTACTTCACTCCATTGCGAAGCAAACCACTCATGGTCACATGGGACTGGACTCTCACACTCTCTAGCAAGTTCAGGCAGTCGATATGAATGACAATGGTCATCTGGATAAATCTTACCCATTTGATTTGCACAGTGAACCCGGCGAGTCTCTTGTGTTAAACCACATTTATCTTCACACTAAAGAAGATAAGCAGAATTAGTAAATGATAGAAAGAAACTGCATAAAATTTCAGTCACCAAGGATGTCACTAAAGGATCTAAGGCACAATTTCATTTTTAGAGTATATTTTGAGTCATGCATTTACTTGAATGACACACATTCACTTATCTTCTTTTTCAAAATATGGTTAAGCAAATCACAATGTATGTTATATTCAAGGCTTCCAGTAACTTCAGGCTTCACAAAAACTGCTGGATCTATACTTGGAATTTTTTTGAGGAGTGATTAATCATAGAGTGGAAATCAAGGAAAGCAATTCAAGCCATATAAACTCTTCCACAAATTCTGTTTCCAGCATGACTTGAACAAACAGCATGCTACATGCCAGTCATTTAATTCAGAAAGATGCAAGATTTTAACACAGGTTACAAAATTCTGAGAAAATTAAGTGTTTTTTAGTGTTCTGAGTGCTTCATTTTTCCTGTAATAGTTTATTGTGTGAGTGAGACAAAGGTTAAAATCTTACTGTTGGCATAATATATATCCAATGAAATATGCAAAAACAACAGTGATGAATAATGACAGGTATTTATTCCAACATTTTTTTTATTTAATAAACATTTTCATTTCAAATCTTGTAATATGGTTAATCTTCTAGTGCGAAAAATTAATTTTATAAAGAATATATAGTTAACAATCATAATAATTTGTAATATAATAAGAAAGAAAACATTAAGAAACTCAGTGTTAACTGTGTGTGTGTCTACACATATATATATATATATATATATATTAATTAATCTCTTGCCTTCTGCAATGGGCATGTATTTGCCTTTGAATAAATATGGCACAAATTGAACTCTTTCAAAGAAAATATTAAATTATAAGATTGTAAGATAAAACCTGTAAACCTGTATCTCTTTTCATACACTTAAACCAATTTCAGATATAACGAGCAGTACCCCAACAGTAATGTCATATGAACTCAGAACAATCTGAAGCATCATTAGTACAACCATGATCTGAGATCATATTATGAAATCCCCATAAAACTAACACAGCCAATAAATACCACACCTTGATATTATATTTATGGTAATGGAAAAAACACAAACAATATTAAGCATTATATTATATTAAGCAAGATATTATTTTGTAAATACAATTTAGGTCACTTTTAAATTCTCCACTTGAGAGGGGACACAAAAGTGATTCTGGCCATACTGCTTCATAAACTTTTTTTACTTACCCCAGACCAGTCTGAAACTATCCAGTCAACTCCCTCACATGGTCGAAGTTCGCAGGGTTTTTCATCCTCAGGCTTTTCCCCAGGACAGGCTGAATCCCCTAGTACTTCGATCTTCCCTTCAACTCTTCGGAAACAGCGCACTCGCCTTTTCTGCGCACCTTCACCACAAAGGCGATTGCACTATCACAAAACAAAATATTTTTACGTGAATTCATCATAATTTATAAAGTCATTCACTTAAATAAAATAAACTGTAACCATATGGGCTAAGACTTTCAGAAAAAGTATAATGTACATAAAAAGTGTGTTTCATTGTTTCTGCAACATTTGTTCAAAACTATTCTGATCTGACAAATAATTAAGAAGTTATTATCAAAATGAAGGAGAAACACGTGTATGTCTTCATGTATAATGCTTGTTACTGTTGTCTGATTTCAACCAAAAATGGAATATATTGACAAATTTTAGTAAAATTCACAAATATAAAATTTTATGGATATCTGTTCAGGAGTTTTCTAGTTTGTACTTTTAGAAAGACAGACACAGCAAAGCTAACAGGTATAATTTTGCAACTCTGTTGTGAACCAACCTAAATATGACTTAAATTCAACAAATTCTTAGACTGACCTTGGGAAGAATCTTTGGCCCTGTTTCATAATCACTATAACATGTTGACTGTTATCTTAGAAAAGCAGGTTTTAAATTTACAATACATCAGTTGCTTTATCCACAATTTTTTTTAAATAGCCACTAACTTAAAAAGCAGCAGATCACAAATATGCATAATTCCTTCTTTATGAACCTTACTGTTATATTAATCAAGCCCTATCACAAAAAAGATAATGATGATGATGATGATTACAGCAACTTACTGGTTTCCAGGGTCCCACATGCCAGGTTGGACATGGGACATCTATGTTACAGGTCTGTGTGCTGGGTGGTTTAGGACCCAGGACATCTGTACATTGCATCTCATCTACCACAGAAGGCAGCCCACCACTCACAATCTGCTCACAGTAGATCTGCCGAATTTGGGTGCCTCCTTCCCCACAAGTTTCACTACATGGGCCCCATTTTCCTAGAGCCCAGTGTGGTGGACATGGGTCTGTCCCACAAGACTGATTTCTTGCAGGCTCCAATGATGGATCACAAAGATAGTCAGGGACAACCTCTACGTCTCTTCTTCTAGCACAAGTTACATTTCTGATCTGGTAACCTGAAAAATTAATTTGATAAATTTAATGCAAATGTATGGAAAGACTACAAGAGTTATTTCACTTCTTTAGTAAAACTGTTTCATTCTTAATTGTAACATCACTCATTTTACAACAGTGAAATTATAAGCATAAAATCCAATATCAAACTTTGACAATGAACAATGTTACATCTTTTAAGAGTCTAAAGTACACGTGTGAGATTATTTCCATAATATTAAAGATTTGTATGTGTGTATGAATGTAAATCATGCAATAAGTGTCAGATGTAAGACTAGTTTCAGACAATAGTGAAACGTCCATTCTGCAAATGAGCAAGGCGGAGCAAATTTTTTTGGGTTTATAAATATTAATGAAAGTGTAGATAATAAAGGTTAAATTAAAAAGGAACTTGCTAGAAGCAGTATAGAGAATGGACATGAGTCACATGCATATATATATATATTCATTCATTCCACTAAATTCTTAAACTCACCCAAATTCTTGATACTTGAAGATTCTGATGGGGTTTTTTATTCAGAAGAATGTGTACTAGCAATAACTGAAATTAGACTTTGACTGACTTAGTTATTATACAGCCATTAAAATTACAAAGCTTTCCAAAATAACTAACTAACTAACTAGATGGCTTACCGAACCCGAAGGTTCATCACCGAATTAACCAAAGCCCTCCACCGGACCCTGTCCTGGGCCAACAAAAAGCTTTCCTAGGTGGTGGAATTTTATAGAGAATTTAGAAGTATTTATTAACTTGTAAAATAAAAATTAAAAATTCTGATTATTATTAGAATTTAACACATTTTATACCTCCTCCACACGTGGCACTGCATTCTGAGAAATCTCCAAATATCCAAGAATAACTGTCAGGGTCAGTTTGTTGTGCCACTCCCTTGGGAATGCTATATTCATATTGCACTCCTGGATTTGTCTCCTGATACAGCAGCTAAATGGGAAAGAAACATTTACTGGTAACACATTTTACTTTCATGCTTTTCATTATCATTATAAACTTTGTACTGTTAGGTCACTAACGCCTGTTCCTACGAATCTCAAGACAGTCTTTCCTATTACAATAAACAGTCAATAAAATAACCATTAAGTTTACATAAATTTTAAGTTGATTAAACATCTTTGTTGCATGTAACATGACTGAGTGTGATAAAATTAATTGTAACCTACCACACTTAACATACTAAAACAGAACACAAAGGGACAATGGAGTAATTTCATTTAAATAGTGCATTTAGGAGTTCAGTCTCCATTCTGTTTCTTATATGGTAACATACTTATTCAATTAAACTGAAACTGATAGAACTTTCAATTTAATAAACAAAGCCTAATTAATTTATGATTCATTTAAATGAATTAAAAATGAAGATATGTACATTTCAATTCAAGATCCAGAAAGCAATAGTAGTTTTCAGAGGTAAAAATGCATATGTGACACTTACAACAATGTAGATGGGTTCTGTTGTTGGTCCAAGAGCTAAAATACTCTCAGGTGCATAGAAGCCATGTGGTTTCCTCTCATAATGGAAGATGGTGCCTGAAAACTTGAGGCTTCGAGGGAAGTCAATCCTCCAGTTTCCATTTAAGTAATAGTGACCAGTCACGTTCCTAATTGCTAGGAACAGGAGCAGTTTTAACAAGCAAAACATAGTAATGCAACATTAAATAAAGAACATAAATAATTTAGAATCAATACAGATGTGAAAGTCAATTTTGTCATGAAAGTATTATAATACACTTTGCGCATAATCCTTCAAATCAGTACTTTCTTCATCACCAGACAGAATAGATGGGCTAGCCATTAAGAGAACAAAAGGTTATCAAACCTTCACAATAAATTTACTGAAATATTTTCTAAGTTTTCCATTAGTTGGAACCACCAATCGATAGCAGGAAGATTATTCTGTCGACCTTGTTAAAATCTTGGAATGACTCCTTAAAAACATACTTAACCATTAATTAATAACAGAAAGGAAAAAAAAACATTCTTTTTCTTTTATTTCTTAATGTCACTGAGGTTCCCAGTTCCAGATGTGTCCCATTCAACTTTACACCACCCTAATTTTCTTGGACTTCCCTGATACCATATTCCAAGGCAAAATTGAAAAGCGGCAACAATATAGCACATCCCTGTTTCAGGCCATTCTGAATACGAAATGTATCAGACAAACATTTACTACATACACAAATTTTGCTAGAGGTTTCACTTAAACACATTTTAATTAGCCTGACTAGCTTCTTAGATGCACCAAACTCAAGCAAAATATTATAAAGAGGATCTAAAATTTTAATGTAAAAAAACTGTTTATGCTGTAGAGTGTCACACCTAACATAAACGTAAATTTCTTGTTATTGTCAGTCTCTTGAGTTTGAATAAAGATGTTTGCACCAGCTACTTCAAAATTCAGCAACAAGGACATAAATATAAATTATAATATACACATATGGCATGACTTTCATTAGCATAAACAGTTTCTATGTTAGCAAGGTGAGAATGGTCTTAGTTCTGTTATGGTACAAACCTAAGTAGTTGTTTGAGGCCTGTACTT